GCGTTGTTGCATTCCATTGATTCTGTGCGAGCCCTCGAAGCCCTCCCCTTTTTTGCATGTCAGTCTGCGTTTCTCTTGCTGGAACTATATTTTTTCCAGCCATCGTCTTTCTTGTTCATCATCTTCAGCGCCACGCCCCACGCGTTTTTTCTACGACATCTGGAGCTTTTTTCGGACTTTAGCAAAGCTTTGCTGCTTAATGACCGTGATCTTCAGAATTAGATTCGGAAAACTGTGATTATCTAAAAGCAGGAGACAATGAATCTAATATATATCTATCCGAAGCCTCGTTTCCTAAATTTTCGAAAACAAAATTCAAATTTCTTGCTTGCGAAACCGTAGTACAATTTAAAGGAACATTGAGAATATTGGTATTTCACTGCGAGAGTTTTACAAATTTATTAAAAGTACGGTAAAGAGCCGTTTTCTGTGTAGATTTACGAAGCTAACTATTTTTGGCGAACATTTTTTTCTTTTTTTGCTCAACTATTTTGAAAACTACTAGACATTTTTGTGTTTTGCGGCGATAAACCGATAAAAGTTTTATCACTTTCGCGTCGGCATTAAGTCAACACTCGATGCCGTTAAAGACGAAACGTGGAAAACCCAATCAGATGGGTAGTTATAATCTGTATAGGATATAGGAAAGCAGCTTTCTTGACATATTTCTCTATTTCCTTTTCTCCTGATAGTTTGTTTGATCAATTTCGACCCTGCTGTTCATTCCCTTGTCGCCGCAGACCGTTTATCAGCAGCTGCAGCAGCACCCAACACCATACAGCTGAACTATTCGAGGGGAGCCTGTCGAACTGTCTGCGCCTTCTTCTGTCTCCTTCCCTATACTTTCTTTTCTTTTTTTTCAATATTTTGCGTCGTCTTCTTCTCATCATCCTAAAAATTCGACTCTGCCTCTTTTCTCGAAAAAGAGCCCCCAATTGTTTGTTTTCGCATACTGCCCGGGCTTTGAGAGCCATGTCTGCGCCTCGTTTTCTCTTTTTTTTTCGCTGACAAGTCGCCATTTGTCAACTTGTTATGTATGTCCATCAGTGTCGCCGTCGTAGAGTCTTGTCACTAACAACTGACCACCAACACCGCCGCCGACGTCCTGTACCTCTCTCTTTTCGCCGTCTCGTTTAAATCTCGCCGTTTCGCGCGCACACGGCCTAGCTGATTTTTTTTCTAGGCCATGGTCTCTGTGTGACGTCTTGCTGAAACTGGTTTAATCTCCAAGGATTAAATTTGGAAAACAAATTTGTTTGAAAGTTCTAGAACTGCCAACGACCACCTTTGGTACTTATTCATGGATCTATTTTCTATCAGAGAATTTTTAAAATTTTGAACTTTTTCTGACTCCTACAGTAAGATGACCTCATTGAAAACTGTTTCTGATGAATTTTTCTTGCATAAAAAATATGAATCGGAATATTTTCGAAAAACGGAAAAATTCTGATTGGAAAATAAGTTTCGTGTGGAGAGGCATGGCAAAGTGCACTTTCCGTTGTGTTGAATGGAAAAAAGTAGAGAGAAAAAATATTGCGGAGGCTGGAAAGATGAAAAGAAGAATTTTCTTTTTCCTCTTGTTTTTTTCTTCCTCGAAACGCAAAAAATATTCTGAACGTCATCATTCCGATGTGTGTGTACATTTGCATGTTCGATGCCTTCTCCTGAATACTCGACTAACAAGAAGAAGAGAAGAACGGCACGAATCGAAATGTTTACGTTTCTGGGTCGTCCCCTCTTCTTTCCACACTCCATTTCCAACCGATCCCGCTATACCATTGTTCTTTCTATGGCACCATCGGCGAGAGGATGCTCTTTTGCTCCGAACACATCAAACAGGAGGCTTACCGTTCAGCGCGAAAAAAACGGTTGTTTGATGTGTAAAAGTTGTCGGTACTGGTGTTCCTGAGCTCCGAGACTTTTGAAGACACCTCGAATGTTTTCAAAATCCTCTTTTTGTAGACATGTCGTTTGGCAGAAAAAATATTGAAGTCTGAACTCAAAATTTATTATTAGGACTTCTCATGTTCGGAATGACCTTGTCGAAAATTCCGATTTTCAAAAATTCGGATTTTTTTTCAGAATGTCGAAAATTCCGATTTTCAAATATTTGCATTTTTTCAGAATGTCGAAATTCCGATTTTCAAAAATTCGGATTTTTTCAGAATGTCGAAAATTCCGATTTTCAAATATTTGCAGTTTTTCAGAATGTCGAAAATTCCGATTTTCAAAAATTCGGATTTTTTCAGAATTTCGAAAATTCCGATTTTTTTCGGAATGCCGAAAATTCCGATTTTTTTTTCGGAATGCCGAAAATTCCGATTTTCAAAATTTCGGATTTTTTCGGAATGTCGAAAATTCCGATTTTCAAAAATTCGCATCTTTTCGGAATGTCGAAAATTCAAAATCCCAAAAAATTATTTGAAAATCGAAAAAAAAACCGATTTCGACAAAGCAAAAAAAAATCAAAGTAATTAAGCTCGAAACCCACAAGCGAACTTTTCGTGTGCACCTTTGAGGTACTGTAGTCCAAAAATATTTATGTTCAGAAAAAAATCGGTTTTTTTTCAAAAATGGTCGGAATTCTCGGAATTTCGTTTCCAACATCCTTGTTCATTATGACTAATTTTAACTGTTTACAGTTCTACTCGTTTGAAAAAATAAGAAAAAATTACTGTAAAAAATACCTCTGACCCACATTTTTATTTGATTAGTGAGTAATGAAATTCTTAAGACATTCATCCTCTTGCTTCAGTTTAAACTTTTTTTCGTTGCAATTGACATGCCCATCCCCTTTCCTCTCTGTGCACTTTACGCCCAACCTTATCGCTCTTTTCCACAACACGTGATGGTCATTCAGGTTGAACGACAAAAAAAAACTTCTGAGTCTTCTGATTTCAACGTCTTCTTCTTTTTCTACATATTTTCCCCAACATCATCATCGTTATCGGACCACTTCATCAGCAGGTCTCTCTCTCTCACTCTCTCTCTCTCTGGCGCACTTTTGTGTGACGCAGATTGATGAAGGTCCTGGTCACCCAGAAATGTTTCATAATCGGAGCTTAGTTTCCATTGGTTGTTCAGACTGAAAACCAAATGAAACAATCGATTATTAGTCATTTCCGGGGGGAAAAGGGGGCGTGGCTTCGATTGTTCTGGAAAATTTCATTCACTGAATGATGCCTATTGTTTTTGATTCTTTTTTGTCTAGCGGGTCGGAAATTCCTCGAATTATTATTATACGAAAAACAGCGGTGAATGTGGTCGAGGGTCCCGCAACGACATCTACCGTAACCTAAAAATATTTTTAGGTTACTGTAGTTGTCGTTGTGGGACCTTTGGCCACCGGCGTTTCTCTTCCACAGCACAGACTGTGATGGCTTTTTGAATTTTAACATTTCTTCTAGAGTAGTCCTGTTGAAACATTGCTCATCGTTCCCATTTGTTACTTCTTCTTCTTCTTTTTTCACATCTCTTTCTCTTCAATTTTTTTCCTCGGACCCATCTCTTCCGCATGTGACGTCGTCAACTTCTTCTTCTTCTTCTCCTGCTCCTTCTATTCCTTCGTCGGCCGTCTTCATCCATCTACCCCTTCATGACTAATAGAAGATTCTGACGCTATATCGATGATGTTCAGAATCAGAACTTCTGAAGTCGAAGAAGAAGTGTTGTCAAGTGTTTCTTTTAGATATCTTCTGAAGAGTGTTTGTATGCTACGAGAAGAGCGGAGCAAAGAAGAAGAAGGACTGCTTCTTCTTCTTCTCCACCCTTCTTTGCTTATTCCTCTTCTTCTTCTGGCCCTCCCCATATATACTCATTCCCCCCGGAGAATTGTTCTTTTCCGCATTGCTGCATCCCCTCGCCGTTGTCGTCGACATTGTCGTCTTGGTCGTTTTCGATCGTCGGATCGAGACAAGTTCCAGACGGCAAGAGTCGTCATCTTCGGCAACGCCTTCTGGAGCAAAAAGCTAGAAAAATGACGAATTTCGGAGTCGTCGTCGTCCTTCTACACCCTTCTCCCCTAGGCCACAACACAAATAACGCGATAACTTTGTTTCGGCTCCTATACAAATTCGGTTATTTTTGCCGGGGGCTCCAACATTGCTCCTTCTTCTTCTTCTTCTTGTTTTTTCTATTTTTCTTTTTTCCATTCATCTACTTTTTTAAAAAGCAATCCTTATCATTATTCCTCACTTGGTCTTCTGGAGCATAGAAAGAAGAAGAAGCAACACAAGAAGCTACTGCTCCTCGCTTCTTCTTCTTTATGAGTCGGGTTAGAGCTCTCTTCGAAAATTGTTTCCGCTCGGTTGCCTTCGTGTTTTCGACGTGCCGCGCCTCGAACTTGTTGCTCCAGAAGAGATTCTGAAGACGAAGAAGAAGAAGAAGAAGTATCACGCATCGTTAGGTATCCATCGTGATTCTTATCTTCTTCTTCTTCTTATCCTGCTTTTCGCCACGCCAATTCCTCCGGATGTGTTGATTCCCGGCGACGATAGGATTTATGTAGGTCAAGACGGGATGTTGCATACAGTTATTCTAAGCTGAGCAATCCTATCCTTCTCCTCTACTTATTAGAATCATGTAGCAGATATATAGGATACTCAAAAGATTCGTCACCCTTCTTCTTCTTCTTTCCTCTACTCCTCAAGTATCAAGTTTCTTCTTCTTCTTCTACTTCTCCTCATCATCATCTCTTCTCCGAGTTTTGTCCTTCTTCTTCTTCTTTTCTTTCTTCTTCTTCTTCTTTTTAATCGTCATTGCTTTACTCCTCATCCTTCTTATCCTGCAGTGCGTTTTCAGAAAAGAATGTCTTAGAATTTTTTTTCATTTTAAGAATTTCTTGTTTGTCCATTCATCTCTTTCTCGTGATGCTCTTCTTCTTCCTTCGTTTTATTTGATCTAGATCCTTTTTACAAAAAGAAGAAGTTTCCAGAACATCTCAATCCAAAGCAGTCCAGTAGACGAATAGGTAGTCTCGGGACTTCGGAACGAGAGCGCAAATGGTGTTACGGGCGCTCGAATTCTCGGATTCGATATCGGATTCGCCGTGGTTCCGGCAGAACTTGCACGATCATGAAGTGGCACTGGACGACGCGTTCAAGAACATCAAACTCATTGAGAATCAATGCAAGGATCTGATTGCGTGCACAAAAAGTGGGTATCTCTTTTCGTTTTTAGCTAGGAAGCCTAACTTAAGAAGCCCGGCCTCGCGTGGAATCAGTAACGAAACGGAAATCTTGTTTCAGAGCTCTCAACGGCACAGCGGGCATTTGCGAAGACGCTCAGCGAGTTTAAAATTGAAACTGTTGGAACGAATCAGACGGACGACGAGCGATTCATTGGTGAGAGAACGAATCTGGGAAATAAGAAGCATGTTAATTGAGAGTTGCAAGATTTTCAAAAAATACTATTGTATTCCTCTAATAGAAGCCCACCCAAACCCTCAACGTTGAGCTCGATTATCTCGGATCCTTTGAGAGATGTTAAAAATGTGCCAACTGATGAATTGCTTATCATAATATCAACAATATTTTATCAATTGACAAATTACTGATATCTTTCACAGGAATCGAGATAATTCAGCTCAAAGTTGAGGGTCTTGGGGCCGTTCTATTACAAGGTTTATGGTAAAGTATCCTTCAAAAAATATCGAAAAAATCTCGATTCATTTTCCGAGATCATTATTTTTCTTCTAGATGCCAAATGTGACGTCTTCTGACGACGTCATCCTCTTAAAATCTTGAAATTACATATTGGACAATCTCAGATGCTTTTTTCGACATTAAAATTCTCGAATTTCAGTCTTAAAATAGCCCAAAATCGACTGAGATAGGCCTGAATCGTCTAGAAATCGGTTTAGTCCGAAATTCTCCCATTTTTATGAAAATTGGTTTTTCGAAAAATACCAATTATTGATGTGCGATGCTTTTATGATATTCAATATTATCCTGGTACAAAAGCTGGAATAAAAACGCAGGTAGCCGAAGGTCTCAAAACGACAGCTACAGTAACCTAAAAGTATATTTATTTTTCAAATGGTTTTCATCGATTTTCTTGCGTTTTCAGATAATTTGTGTATTAAAACAAGGAAAAATCTACGAAAATCCGTTTAAAAAAATCCTGAAAATTAGAGTAGTTTTAGGTTACTGTAGTTTTCGTCGTGGGAGCTTCGGCCACGGCCGCAGGCTTTCTCTTACATAGTTCCAGCGTTTTTTTTATCAGAATAACATGTTAACATAAATATTGAGCTCTGAAAACTAGTCTTGCCCTAGTAAACACTACTGTAATCCCGATGAAAACCATTATTTTTCCAGCAACATGTCTCAAAGAGTTCGCCAGCCTTATCAACCAAGTCGAAGATGAACGTATGAAACTAGTGGGCCAAGCCGAAGAAAGTTACCTAGAACCGATCAAGAAGTTTCGAACTGAAGCGATTGGTAAAACTTTAAAAGAAGAGAAGAATAAATATGATAAGGAGAGCAGCAAATTCTACTCGACGCTCGAAAAACACCTCCATCTGAGTACTCTTCGGAATAACGATTTCCGAGCGGCCGATGCTCAATTGGAGACACAACAGAAGAATTTCTTTCAGGCTTCGCTTCAGGTGAAACTTTAAAAATTCTATTCACACATTATTGTTACAGTATGTGGCAGAAGTGCAATCGGTTCAAGAGCGAATGCGATTTGAATTCGTTGAAACGTTAGGTTCATATGTATACTCTTGGTTATCGTTTTTCCATGTTGGTAAGAATTTTTTATTGCTACTGCTCGTCAAAAAAAACAAATTTTTCCAGGTAGTGTAATTCATCAAGACTTCAAACCCTTTTTAGACAATGTACAAACAAAAGTTCTCAAGGTAAAACTCTATAAAATCCTTCCTTCCCGTAAAATTTTCACTGTTTCAGACAAAAGAAAACTACATGGCAACGAATGCGGAAGCTGAGGAGCTGAAGCGAAAATTGTTAGCTTCGCACACAAAAGTCTGTTTCTAGATTCAATTCCCTAACCTGAAATTGTTCTTTACCTGAAATTTCCAGCCCGGATCCGAAGAGCGACGACCAACGCCTTCGATTAAGCAGGGATATGTGTACATGCAGGAGAAGAGCAAAATTCCCAGTAAGCGTTTTTTTGGAGGAAAAATTTCTGATTCAAAAATCTATAAAAAATAGAAAAGAAAACTCCCGAATCTCCGTAAAACCTGTATTAGAAGGACAGGCCATTCTGTTGTCCCAGGATCTCTCAGGAGTGCCCCTCTATTGCAGGGGCCCTTCTAATACAGGTTTTACGGTATTTTCCCGGACGTCTCTTCACCTATTTTAAAATTATCTCTCTTTTTTTCAGAGACAATCGGACGAGATGTACTACTCGGTAGATGGACCAAATACTACTGTGTCTATTCACGAGAAACCCGAATCTTCACGATGGTCAGCGCGAATTCGGCAACAAAAACTGACATGAAAAGTGCGGTGGCACAAACGGCGACGTTCAAATTCAAGTCGTGCTCTAGAAGATCGGTGGACAGTATTGATAAGAGGTGAGCATTCGTTTTGCCGTCTAAAAATTCCGAAAATGCCCTTCCTGTGTTGCTCATTCGATGAAGGAGGAGGAGATGAGGAGGCGCGAAAAACAACAAAAATGATGGAATTCGTCTCATAAATTTGAAACGAGAGGAAGAGAAAGAGCAGGAGGAGGAGGATGAGCAGGAGAAGCAGAAAAATCTGGAATCTCCAGGGATCGCGAACAAAAAAGTTTTTGCACTGCCAAACACACACACGGAAATAAGCGAATCTCGAAGCGAGATCTTTTGCACATGCTCCTCCACATACTTTTCGCCTTTTGTTTCATCTCTATCATTAGCTGCAAACGTATAGAAAGTTTACCAGAAAAAAGGGATATTTTGATTTTTTTTTTAATGCCTAAAATGCCTGACAGTGCTATTTTGGTATGAAGCCGAAGGTCCCACAACGACAATTACCGTAATCTAAGAATAATTGTATAATCCGGATTGATTATCTCAATTTTCGTGCATTTTCAGCCAATTTTCTCAATGTCAGCAGTGTCAATTTTCCGACTTTTTGGGGGAAAATGCCGTAAAGCCTGTATTAGAAGGGCCCCTTTAATAGAAGGACCTTCTGAGAGAGGCTTGAAACAATAAAAGGGCATGCTCAATTTCAGTGAAATCGATAGATTTTCATAAAATTTGAACGCGAATTCGCCGAATTTTCCGATGAAAAATTTCGGAAAAAATGATTCACTTCCACAGTTTCGATTTTTCGTACCAAAATAATCCATCTTTGCCTTTTTGAATTTTTCTGATAATGTCGAAAATTATGAAAACCTGTCGAATATTTCGTGAAGTAAAACCTCAACGTAAAGCCTGTAATAGAAGGTCCCCCACTCTGTCAAGATTGAGCTGATTTCTCTTGGCTCCTGTGAAAGATATCAAAAATTGGTCAACTGATAAATTGTTCATAATAATATCACCAAAATGTCATCAGTTGACAACTTTTTTTATATCTTCGACAGGAACAAAGAGAAATTGGCTCAACGTTTACAGTTAGGGAGCCCTTCTATTACGGGTTCTACGGTAATTCTTGATCCCCTTTCTTTTTCTTTCATCCCTCTTCTCCTTATTAACCATCATTCTTCAGATTCTGCTTCGACGTGTGTGTGGAAGAGAAGAACGACGTGATGACGATGCAAGCGCTCTCCGAGAAAGATCTCTGCGAATGGATCGACGCGATGGACGGTGCGAAGCAGAACTCCTACACAGCTGGCGAGAATCCGTCGTGTTCCACATACCAAAAGAGTGAGTCTCTACCGATTTCACAGAAAATTTGTGTCTCTCTTGGACACGACGACGACGACGCCCACACTGTTTTCCTGTTTTTGCTATCTGCCAAATACAAAACTGGCGGGGCTCCAATTGTGAGCCGAATACATTTATCTTTTCCTCTTCTCGCCTCCCATTCCTCGTTGAGAAGAAAAAAACCATGAAAGAGTCAGAATGAGAAGAATTCTTTCTCCTCTGTTGTTTTGAGTTCCAGCTCTTCTTCTTCTTCTTTTCCTACTGCTGCTGCTTCTGTCGCCCCGTTTCCGTGAATCGTTTGTCGCCCCAGAAGCGGCAAACTCAGCAGATGCAGCCAGTAGTGGTGGTAGTCTCTAGTATATCAGTAATCCTTTTTTCGGCGCCTTCCCCACCCCTCTATGTCTTTCCCTTCTTCTTCGACCCCCTTTCGGCGGCGGTTCAACACCAATTTTCGTGTCAAACTGCTTTTGACGACTACAAGTTTTCTCTACGAGTTCACTTTTTTCAGCTATATAGGTTATGAAAAATGAGAAAGGCTGGTTTTCTACTTTTGTAAAATGGTATTCCTTGAATTTAGCTACGGTGGAAATTCCATGATCCCCAAGGCTTCCAATTCGCGTCGAGACCAACGAATAATTTGCGCGGCAAATTTACAATTTTTAAAATTCCTCGTAATATGGTACTAATTTTTGTAGGTCTCGACACTGTAGGGGTGTACTGTAGCACTGGTTTCAACTGCCATTTACAGAAAACTTGGAGATCTGAGCCCAGAAACCCCAGATTTAGAATTTCGGAACTTCTGAATTCCTGAATTTCTGATTTTCTGAATTTTAGGATTTCCGAATTTCTGATTTTCAGATTTCCTGAATTTCTCGGTATTCCGAATTTTGAAGTTCTGATTTTCTGGTTTTCTGAATTTTTGAATTTCTGAAATTCTGAATTCCTGAATTTCTGAACTTCTGAATTGCTGAATTTCGGGGCTTGACGGTCTAGGGGTGTACTGTCTCAATGGTTACGAGTTACGAATTGGAAACCTGGGGAACCGGGCACAGAAATTCAAAAATCCTCGTAAGACAGTACTACTAATTTTCGTTCGTCTCGACACTCTAGGGGTTGTACTGTAGCACTGGTTTCAACTGTGCTAATTAGAACTCTAGGAGATCTGAACCCTGAAATCCCAGAATCTAATATTTTGGACGCGGCAAAACAATTTCCATACTTGTGTCCAATTCTGCTCTGAATACATTCTTTCTGTGCTTTGATGTGACTTCCAATTTCCGCAGAATCTCCCCCTTCGTCCACACGCCATCTATTTTTTGTAGTCCCTTCATATCCACCTTCCCACTAAAATTTGACCGCCCCCCCCTTAGAGGAGCTCCGCCTCTTTTCCAAGTATCCATATCTTCGAAGACTCCCAGATTTTCCCATCCACGTGAACACTTTGATCATCGGAATCAGATGATCTGATGAAGATTGATAGTAGGTTGAAGAGCAGAAACCTTCCGATGTTCCCATCGGCCTTTTTTCCTCTCTCTCTCTCTCAAACAACAAAAAGAGATTTGGATTTTCGATAAAAAAGTGTTTTGGAAAAATCTGAACCAGAGGTTGTTACTCTTTTTTAGTCGATTTTTTCTCCAACCCCATAAATAGGACCTATATGTGTGCTCTTCGACTTTCTTCTTCTTCTTCCCGTGAGCCGGTGTGGGAGAGTGACGAGAAGATTTCTGAGAGCTGTGAGGAGTGGAAAGTCACGGAATGCCAAATTAGGTCAGGTGATTGGAGGAAAAAAGAAGGAAAAGAAGAAGAAGAAGCGCCAACAACACAAAAATGAATAACGAAGAAGAAGTGAGAGAAAATGACGTTTTCGAATTTAACGGAAGTAACTTTCTTTCTTTCTCTGTCTAAACACTACACGTTTTGTCGATGGTCCCAACAGGTTCACTGTTCAGAAGGTTCTCAGAATCTTGAATTAAGAACTTTTGCAATTTTAGAAAATTCAGCTTTTAGATTTTGGTCTCTAAAGTCAGTTTTCTCTCAAAATTTTTTTCTATGAATCTACCGTACTTCCTCTAATAGAAGCCCACCCAAACCGTCAACTTTGAGCTCAATTATCTCGATTACTGTGAAAGATGTCAAGAATTTGTCAACTGATAAAATATTGGGGATATTATGATAAGGAATTTATCGGTCGACAATATTTTGATATCTTTCCCAAAAATCGAGATAATTCAGCCCAAAGTTGACAGTTAAGGTGGGCTTCTATTAAAGGCTTTTCGTCTTTTACAATTCTCGTTTGCTGACTTTCCAATATGGCTCCTTGACGTTTCAGAACCAGGCGTTTTGGAACCACGACCGTTCATAATTCGAGATTTCAGAATCATAATTGAATGTACGGTAGATGAGAACGAATAAAAAAGCAGAAAAGTTCTGAAACGTCGGGTTCTGAAACGTAGAAGAGCCTCCATTATTCGTTTGCTGAGTTTTCCGATTCACAGGATTCCTCTGGGTCTCTTTTAATTCTATCAAATATGAATGCTGATTCATTTTTTCTCAGAATTTCCTTTTCCTTATTAATCTCATTCCTTTCCGAACGCCTCCGCTCGATGTTCCAGAAGCCCCACTCCCTCCATGAACGTCATGTAGTTCGGTCACAACCCCCTTCTTCATTTTTCGAATGGAAAAAAAGGGGCTTCGTGCACAAATGTGACTTTTTGCAAGAGATCGTTTCTCATTGTTTTCCTCCCAATAACGACCTTTTTCGTTGACCCAGAAGTTCATTTTGCTGATTCACACGTTTCCCCAAAAGAGAGCATATTTAATTAAATTTTCTTCTCCTTCTCATGATCTGGAAAAAAGAGGATCAGGTCCCCTCCCCCTCGAAATGAAGCGACGCCGCAACTAACATAATAGTGATAATGGATGTACCTCTCTGCTACTCCACCACTCGGACATTCCAAAAAATTTCCATCCGATGCATATCCTCACACATGGATAGCCTAGAAAAAAAGAAAAGTGTTTTGAAACCGAAGAAGAGGAATAAGAGGCGACGGAAGAGAAATTGCATCTGGAAGAGATAAACAAACGAAGAAGAAAAATGGGAGGGGAGAAAAGAAGAAGAAGACACACACACAAAACAGCTCAGAATCAGCTCAATTCTGCGACGACCCGCTTGACGTCATTCGGAAGAATATGTCGCAGAAGAGAAGAAGGAGTATAGACTTTGCTCGCAGACGAAGAAGAAGAAAAAAGCGTCAGGAAGGAAGAAAGGCGTGAAGTTACTATAGAAGAATATGTCTTCTGAGAAATATCATGTTCGGGAACTAGATTCACGATTCTAGACAGCCTTTGGAAGCCCGAAAAATCGATATTTTCGGCTCTTGTTGTTAGCTCTTCCACGTCCCAGCTCTCCGGAATGACCTATGCCTCTTCTCATCCCTACCAAGATCAACCCATTGGTCTTCTCATCAAACATTAATTCATTCGGTCCCCCCAGGCTCCGCCCCCTTTTTCTCTCTATGCTCTTTGTTTTCGTTGTTTCGACTCGAAGAAAAAACAGCTCAGCTCCAGCTCAATTGGGTTTTTTCTTGTGTCCCTGGGGAAATTTCTCGACACCTTCTTCAGAAATTCTCTCTACTTTAACAGATCATGTTTCTTCTTGGACCAAGAATCTTGGCGTCACTTTGTTTCTTCTGATATAATAAATCCCATCGAAGATTACCTATCTCGTGATAAATTGTTGATTCTATTGTTCTGAATAAAAGAGACAAGAGATGGATGGATGGATTAAATCGAATCCCCGCCTCCAGAATTTTTCCTCATTTTGTTGATGGAGAGACTAAGGGAAAATTAACTGAAATTTGTGTGAATTTCAGCCAATCGCGAAGAGTACATATTCTTTGTTTTCTTGCTCGCTCTCTCAGTCTTGTTGGTTCATTAGAATTCTTGTTTTTAGAGGATTTTTTCTGGAAATGTAGATGTGTCTAGACGGACTACGAATTCCTTGAGAATTTCTCGAAAATTCTGAATTCATAAAGATCCAATGAAGGATTCTAGAAGGTCTGTTCAGAAATCAAGCTTCAGCGAATGACCGGACCTTTTTGGAACCCATTTGCATTTCTCTTCGTTCCGCTTGATTACCTCCGAACCCCCTGCTCCTCAAAAAGCTCCAAAAAAGCTACTACCAGTCCACCACAAAATTTCATAAACGGGCCCATCGTCCATCCTTGTCTCTTCTTCTTCTTTTCCTATATTCCCCTCCATTTATTCCTCCTCCCCTCCTACATAATTTTTTGTCCATCCATTCCTTCCTCATGCTCTATGGATCGGCTGCTTTTCTAGGTGTATTATGCTCTTTGATTTTTTCGAATGTCCCCGCCCACTTTTTTTTTGGCTCCGCCTCTCTCTCTTTCGTCAAGCACCACCAGATTCATTAACTTTTCACGCGTACATCGCGTGATTAGAATCAGAAGAATCTTGAGAATTTCAACGATTTCCGAGGGCATCTCATCTAAAGAAGTTTCCTTTTTTAGAAGACGTTGTTGGTCTTCTGTGTTTCTTTTCACTTTACACCCCCGATTTGAATTGGTCCCCTGAGAGAAACGTTGAATGATCAGTAGGGCGGAGTTTCTAATCAATCTTTTTACGCTTAGGTCCTAAGGAATCAGAGAATAGATAGAAAAAGATTTTATTTAAGACCCCAATCCTTCCGAAGTCTCATATTCCTAAAATGTTCTTCTCCAACTTTTTCCTCCTTTCCCCATCTTCTTCTGCCTCTTCCTCGTATTCTTCCTCCTCTACACCTCATCCATTAAGTAATCAGACGGAGGAAAAAAAGAAGACGATGAGTGTGTACGAAAAGCAACGAAGTTCATCGTTTGGCGACAACTCGCAGCCAATCTTTGCCATGGCTCAACACCATCAGCAGGCGATTTCCTCCCCCCATAAATTCAATATCACTGATGGCCTACGCTCGTTTCATAAGGCGTCGGCGTTTTTGCCAGGATTTGTAGTCGATAATTGTAACGGTAAGATAGTATTCTGCTAGCGAAAAAAATTGGAGCTCCGAAGGTCCCCAACTACCGTAACCTAAAATTTTTTCTGGGCGTTCTCAGCCCAATGGTAATAAATCCGCAAAATACAAATATTTTCTAGGTTACGGTAGCCCCAATTTTTTGTATTTAGCAGAATAATAGCTCGTCCTTCTCCTCGAAATTCTTCCCGAAATTCATAGAAAAATGGCGAAAACAAACTGCGTCGCCGTTGTCCAAAAAAGAGACAAAGAGGGAGAGATCCCTAATTGATGTGTGGAGCCAACAAGAAAAAAAATAGCAAGAATTTATTTTTTCCAGCACAACTGGATGACATTGGATTCGAGTTTGTACAGCAATGCATCGACATTCTCGAGGAGAGCGGGATTCATGAGCAGGGCGTCTATCGGAATTGCGGTGTGACGTCGAAGGTGCAGAAGCTGATGCAGTTGGGACTGGATAGGAGAAAAGCCAGCGAGAAGGGCGGTTTGAATTTGAGAGATGAGGAATGGGAGACGAAGACGATTAGTAGTGCAGTGAAGACGTTTTTGAGGTAAGTCCTAGCTCATTTGATTCAGAAATCAAGAAACCTTTTTTCAGGAATCTCCCGGAACCTCTGATGACGTTTGAGCTCCACAATGTATTCATAAACGCGGCAAAGATGGGTGACGCCACTATGCGCATTGATCATATCCACTTCTATGTTCATCAACTACCACCACAACACCTTCGAATGTTGGAGACCGTCGTACGTCATCTGACACGTGTCGCCGATTTATCCAACGAGAATTTGATGACTGTGAGCAACTTGGGTGTCTGCTTTGGACCGACGTTGTTGCGTCCGAAAGAGGAGACGGTAGCTGCTATCATGGATATCAAGTTTTGTAATGTGGTGGTGGAAGTGTTGATTTCAAACTATGACAAGATTTTCAAGACGAAGCCAAAGTCAAGCTTCGGATCGGCAGTTCCACCGAAGCCCGATCATCATAATGTCAACGACAACGGACGTCCATTGGCAACTCGATCTTTCGGTACGTCTGTTCAATCCCCGATTACTCATCGTTCACGTTCACCTAAAACACCAGGATCCGGATCGAAAATCGTCAGAAGCACCCAGGTGGTATCCAGCTCGTATTCACGTGGGATGCAGAAGCGGGACGCAATGTTTCCATCTGAAATTGCTCGATACGGCGCCGGATTCGATGTCTCTCAATTGTCGGACTTCTCCAATGATGCAGACAAGTCTCCACTGACGTCTCCAACAACAGTCGCACCACTAGCCAGTGGGAGTATAGAGGAGATTGATGAAGTATCCAAAAAGGAGAGAAACAGTTCAGATTCCTTGAATTCGTTAGGATCACTAGGATCAGTAGGTGATGAATCGACGGCGACAGTGGTGGCGGCTCCAGATGTATTTGAGAAATCTAATGTAAAACGTAAGTTTGAATTGAAAGAAATACAATTAATAGGATTATTTTCAGCCAAGTATAGTGTCTCCTACGCTTCCACCTACAACCGGATCCCTGCTGACTCGTGAGTTCCTTTTTCTACTTTTCCCCCCTGATCCCCCTGCTTGTCCCTTGTGCATGGTTTCGTTTTCAGCTTGTCGTGCTTTTTTGATTCGTCTCTTGTTCTGATTTTCTGTTCTTTCCCCTTCTCGATTTCTTTCTCTATCCCTTTCTTTCTACTATTCCTTTAGATCCAAACTCACCTCATCGATATCGTGCACTACTGTCGATACTACAGGCGTTGTGGAGACATCGTTCACCTCGCTGACACGACAGAACTATCTACGTGGCACATTGAACAACTCCTCTTCGTCGCCGATGGGACCGACGTATAAGTATTTGAGGTATCATAGAAGACCCCCCGCATTGTTATATATATAGCTCTATTTCTTTTCTCTTTCCATTCTTTTTCTTTCACTATCATCTCTTACAACCAACACTTTCGTCATGTGACAATATCCTTTAGATATTCAAACGTGACGTGGCATGAGCATCGCGACACAGACAATATTTAACACAGAATTACCAAAGTTTCTATGTAAACACCTGGAATTTTCAGCCGACGTGTCAAAACGCTGTATGCCTGCACACCCGATCATCATTCAGAACTCTCGTTCGAGCCAGGACAGATTATCACCAATGGTACTGTAACAGTATTACCTTTAGTCTGACGGCAATGCGCGTTGCTACCGAAAATACAGTTTAAAGGCGCATCTTCGACCCAGGAGCAAAAAGTCATGTTTCTAAGTGCATGCGCCTTTAATACCGTATCTCTCAATTCATTTATTCTGGAACCTAATAATTCTGAGATACGCTATTGAAGGCGCATGCACTTAAGTATTCAAAAATTGCACTTATTCGCTGTTGGACCGACGATGCGCCTTTAAACTGTATTTTCGGACGCATCGCCGTCAGAGTAATAAACAGTCCACCTATCTGAATTCTAATGTTTTCAGTGTATGAATCTAACGAAGATGGTTGGCTAGTGGGGACACTCAACGGCAAGACTGGTCTCATTCCCTCGAATTATGTGGAGCCGTTGCCTTAACCCCAATTTTTTTATCCATCACGGCCTCGCGAAGGGAACCTAGATTTAAAAATTGGAAAGCGCGCCAAGTTTGGACGAGTTGCGCGGTCGCGTCGCGGCTTTTCGGTGAGTAGCGACTCAACAACGCTTAACTTCACGTATTTTTCAAAACACGTTTTGAAATTTTCGAATCTGTCATGCAGCCAACTTTTGTGCGCGACGAAGCGCGCTTTTTTCAGGTTCCCAACCGCGATGCCGTGATCCATTTGTATTTTTTGCTTTGTTTCTTTTTCTCCGGCCAGTTCACTTTGTGATCCAATCTCTTTCTTTCCATGATTCGAACTCTTTCTTTTTTCTCTCGATTCGATTTTTCCCCCATTCAAAGTTCTGGTTTGATGTTATAGACCAATTATTTTCCAATTTCTGTGTCCCGAATACGAGGTCTCTTCGTTTTCTTTTCCCCACCCAAACTATGATTCTCCCTCTCTCTTGATTGTTTCTAATTTTTATAATATTTATATTTCAAAAGCAGTCCCAACCAACATTTTCGAACGAATTACGAGTCTCTCCTGATTCTAGTATTTTTACTGTGAGACACTTCTCTCTTCTCCTTCTTCTTCTACACACTTTTTAAGATTAATTTATCTTAGCCTCTCTGCTCTTTCCAATTGCAACGAACATAATTTATTTTGTTTTTCAAAAAACCCCTACCAAGAAGTGTCTACTGGAGGTGAAATAAATAGATATTTATTGGGTTGTGTTAAAGAAAAGAATTTGACTCGTTTTGAAATGGAATCATACAAACAATATTAAAGAAAAAAAAGAATATCCGGCTAGAATAGTTGACTCTGTGAGAGCGATGATAGTGTTAAGAATAAATAAATGCAAAGAATTGCATGGTACAAATTAGAGAGTTGGTCTAACATTTCTTTCATTGGTTATTCCTTTCATTGAATTCTTTCAAAAGTATCTCGATAACTTCGGAATGCTTCAGCCCAGCGTCACTGTAATCCCAGTAGTGCTTCTCGGAGAATTCTCGGAATCCTTCTGGATGCTTCGTGAAGTTACGACGGACGGCTGGAGGTGATGTTGTTAGTTTCGAGGCAGTGGCTGACACAGATTTGTTCCTATTCGGATCTTCGATACGGATTCTCGAATTGGTTTTGCGACAGTAGCGATAGAGAATGAAGCGCCCGAGACATCTTCCACAAGCCTTTCGAGAAGTATCCAGAGATTTTGACTGTCGTTTTATTCTGAAAAAAATTGTCATCCACAACACGATTTCTCAATTACACAACTCACTCCACAGTACATGTATCATTCTCACAGACGTAGTAGAACTTGGCTTCAATCTCATAATCATGACATCTTTCGATAAACGGCAATGACTTGAAAGTAGACGAGCATCGAGCTCCCCATCGTTTCCAACCAGGTCCATGTCCTTCTTTGTGCAGTTTGTCGACTACCCACACAGCCGCATGGCACATCTCATGAATAAAAGTGTCTCGAACTCGTTCAGCTGTTGTACAAACTACTGAAGACATCTCGACGGTACTTTTTCCGTTACGATGGTTACGACACTGGCCTGCTGATTTTCGAAGACGTGGATTCCATGTAACAACAAGTTCGTCAGATGGGATCGCTGAGAAGATCCGGCGAAGAAGTATGTCCTGAAGACGAGTCAGAAGAGATTCCCGATGCTTCTTCAAACGAAGAGCACCGTCTTTGACGTATACTTTCGCATCGTTATGACTGAAAATAGCGGATGTTTTTAGAATCGGATGCCTAAATCAAACATACATTTCTCCGGAGTAATTCTCCGTGAGTGAAACCAAGAACCATTCTTCGTCATCCGAAGGACGTTTCTTCTTGCTCTTCACTTTTGGCACAACGACTTCTGGACTGAATTCCCTGAACTCCTCATCAGACACTTCTTCTTCTTCTTCTTCAGAAGCATCTGAACTTCCACCTGAATCCTCTTCACTGATGTAGTCGTCTTCTACTACAAACTTTTTCTGGGTGGTTCGGGCTTTTCGTTCAGCTTTTGGCGGTTTAGATGGCTCTTTTCGAAGATTTTTGAGATCTAGAACATAAAAATGTATTTAGTCTGAAGATCTGGAATTATTACACTCATCGAATTCGCCTTCATCCTCTGAATCCGAAGAAATTACGATTTTCCTAGATCTTTGCTTTTTGACTTCTTTCTCTGCTCCCCAAGGAGGTCGGTTTTCCTTGTTAGCATCTTCATCGTCAGTCATTGGCTCTATTTTCTGTAGAACGTTCATATAAAAACATCATATGTGTTATAAAGAAAGTACCAGTTCTTTCTTGATATTTTTCGGCCTTTGTGGTGGTGGCTGTGAGGCATCCTGAAACATTTCAGGGTAGAGTTGCTTCAAAAGTTCTTTCTCTTGATTCGTTTCCACTTTTTGTAAAATCCGTTCTCCTGGTGTCATTGGAGCTTCCCTTGCCGGTTTCCTAGCCGGAGTTCGATACCCCGGGGAGATTGGAGAGCTTACGGACATCATTGAAATATTGTTTTCTAAGTTTGAAATGCTTTCATCTAGATCTATTTCTGGCTCATCTTTCTGGAAATAATGTCATCGTTTTGCCATTTAGAACTCGCAAAACTCACAATTGGTTTCATACCCAGGCTGCTATCATTGTTAATTGACTTTCTGTTACTGAAACTACTACTCCACGCTGTTCTGGAAGAGAAACCCGATTGACCGACTAAAGGTTGAGATTGAACTTACTCATATGATGATGCTGATGTATTACTGTTGTTATGAAGCTCACGGAACGGCTAGGCATTGTGGATGCTAGTGGACTAGAATTAAAAATAGCGAGACAAGAAAAAAGTTTGAATTTCGATTGGCGCCGAATTCGATGCTTTGTGTGCACACTGCGGACCCGACAACTAACTTTACGCGCAAAAATTAGCTTTAAAAGCTTTTTCAGCCTTATTTCCAGTCTCTGTTCTAGTTTTTGCATGTAGAGTATTTAGAGTTGCTTGTGAATTCCTGCGCTGCAATTATTCTCAGAGAATCAAGCTGTTTCTGTGTCTTTTTCTGTCTTTGAGACCCCGCAAATTCCGGGGAAAGAAAAAACCGGGGAAAAAAATCGGGGAAAAGTGGGCGGAGTCGGGGGGGGGGGGGGGGCGGAGCCTAAAATGCAACTCCGCCCACTTTCCCCGGTTTTTTTTCCCCGATTTTCTCCCCGGAATTTGCGGGGTCTCCTGTCTTTGAATCGATTGAGTAACGGCGCTCCACTGTTCACATCGAAGAGCGATTTTCGAAAACGAGTATCGAACCCTGAAAATGCGACTGTACATTGATTTCTAGAGTAGCTCTCATTCTAAAACTTTCTACTAGAAATTTTAGTTGTGAATAAACTGTTTGGTTTTCCTCAGATATTTCTCTCTCATTGACTATATCGCCTCTTTAGGACAGAAGTCCTATATTTCGTTCCTAAACACGATTCTTCAATCTTCATGATCTGTAAATTGTGATTTTAGACCGAAGATCCTCAAACGATGGATTCTGATCTTTACGACGAGTTCGGTAACTACATCGGTCCCGAGTTGGACTCGGACGACGATGTAGGGGATATGGACGACAATGTTGAAGACGACGATCGCAGCGATGCTGATGAAAACGAAGAACCGGATCGAATGGAGGAGGATGAGGCGGAAGAGATTCCACAGAACCAAGTGGTGCTCCACGAAGACAAGAAGTACTACGCTTCGGCGCTGGAAGTGTACGGAGAAAATGTCGAGACGTTGGTGCAGGAAGAGGATGCCCAACCTCTGACTGAACCGATTGTCAAGCCAGTCTCAAAAAAGAAGTTCCAAGCTGCGGAACACAGACTCCCAGAGACCGTCTACAAAAAGGAGTATCTCGCAGACTTGATGGATTGCCCTCATATCATGAGAAACGTCGCCATTGCTGGCCATTTGCATCACGGAAAGACGACGTTCTTGGATTGCCTAATGGAGCAGACACATCCAGAATTCTACAGAGCCGAAGACGCAGACACTCGTTTCACCGACACTCTTTTCATCGAACAGCAAAGAGGATGCTCGATCAAGTCGCAACCGGTAAGCATTGTAGCTCAGGATAGTCGCAGCAAAAGCTATTTGCTAAACGTTATTGACACTCCGGGACACGTCAACTTTTCTGATGAAATGACTGCTGCGTACCGCTTGTCAGATGGAGTCGTCATTCTGGTTGACGCTCATGAAGGAGTCATGATGAACACGGAAAGAGCGATTCGTCATGCTATCCAAGAACGACTATCAGTGACGCTCTGTATCTCGAAGATCGATCGTCTTCTGTTGGAATTGAAGCTGCCACCTGCAGATGCCTACTTCAAACTTCGACTCATCATCGACCAAGTGAACAATATTCTCAGCACGTTTGCTGAGGAAGACGTTCCAGTACTCTCGCCTCTGAACGGTAACGTCATCTTTGCTTCCGGTCGTTACAACGTGTGCTTCTCACTCCTCTCTTTCGCAAACATCTACGCCAAGCAGCATGGTAAGAATCAGCAACTAATTTTTGATTTTCAATTATTTTTTACAGGTGATTCATTCAATTCAAAGGAGTTTGCTCGTCGCCTCTGGGGAGATATCTATCTGGATAAGAAGACTCGAAAGTTCGTGAAGAAAGCTCCATCGCATGAAGCGCCGCGAACATTCGTGCAGTACATACTGGAGCCGATGTACAAAATCTTTTCGCAAGTTGTCGGAGATGTCGACACATGTCTGCCGGATGTCATGGCTGAGCTGGGGATTCGTTTGTCCAAAGAGGAGCAAAAGATGAACGTCCGCCCGTTGATCGCTCTTATTTGCAAGAGATTCTTCGGAGATTTCAGCGCATTCGTCGATTTGGTTGTTCAGAACATCAAGTCGCCACTGGATAATGCGAAAACCAAGGTCGAACAAACGTACTTGGGTCCAGCTGATTCTCAATTAGCTATCGAAATGCACAAATGTAATGCCGAAGGACCATTGATGGTGCACACCACGAAGAACTACCCAGTTGCCGATGCCACTCAGTTCAGAGTGTTCGGAAGAGTTATGAGTGGAACATTAGAAGCCAACTCAGACGTTCGTGTTCTTGGAGAAAACTACAGTATCCAAGATGAAGAGGATTGTCGGCGAATGACAGTGGGACGTCTGTTTGTACACGTCGCCAGATACCAAATCGAAGTCTCGCGGGTTCCAGCTGGTTGTTGGGTTTTGATCGAAGGAATCGATCAACCAATCGTGAAAACCGCTACGATCGCTGAACTTGAGTACGAAGACGACGTTTACATTTTCCGGCCACTGAAATTCAACACTCGCAGTTGTGTCAAGCTGGCTGTTGAACCGATCAATCCATCAGAACTGCCGAAGATGTTGGATGGATTGAGAAAAGTGAACAAGTCCTATCCATTGCTGACAACACGAGTCGAAGAATCCGGAGAGCATGTTCTACTCGGAACTGGAGAGTTGTACATGGATTGTGTTATGCACGATATGAGAAAAGTCTTCTCAGAAATTGATATCAAGGTCGCAGATCCTGTGGTCACATTCAATGAAACAGTTATCGAAACAAGTACACTGAAGTGCTTCGCAGAGACACCAAACAAGAAGTGAGTTCTATTGAAAGATTCAGTCAAGAATCTATGTTTTTTTCCAGGAACAAGATCACAATGATGGCCGAGCCATTAGAAAAACAATTGGACGAAGACATCGAGAATGAGGTTGTCCAAATCGGCTGGAACCGACGGCGTCTAGGAGAATTCTTCCAAACCAAATACAATTGGGATTTGCTCGCGGCTCGTTCCATCTGGGCGTTCGGACCTGACACGACAGGTCCCAACATTCTTCTCGACGACACATTGCCATCAGAAGTCGACAAACATCTTCTATCGACTGTCAGAGAGTCATTGGTTCAAGGATTCCAATGGGCCACCAGAGAAGGTCCCCTCTGTGAAGAACGTAAGAGTTTTTGGTTTTCAATATTTTTCCTATTATTTAATTTTCAGCAATCCGTCAAGTGAAGTTTAAACTTCTGGATGCCACGATCGCATCTGAGCCATTGTACCGTGGAGGAGGTCAAATGATTCCAACTGCCCGTCGTTGCGCATACTCAGCATTCTTGATGGCTACACCTAGGTTAATGGAGCCATACTATTCCGTCGAAGTTGTCGCTCCGGCAGATTGCGTTGCCGCCGTCTACACAGTGCTCGCTAAACGACGTGGTCACGTCACCACAGATGCTCCAATGCCAGGATCACCGATGTACACGATCAGTGTAAGTATTCCATGATAAATGATGTTTTTATGAACGTTTCTTTTTCCAGGCTTACATTCCAGTCATGGACTCGTTCGGATTCGAGACCGACTACGTATTCACACCCAAGGACAAGCATTCTGCATGTCAGCATTCCATCACTGGCAACTTGTTCCAGGAGACCCGCTTGACAAGTCAATCATCATTAAGACATTGGATGTGCAGCCGACTCCCCATCTCGCCAGAGAATTCATGATCAAAACCAGAAGACGTAAGGGACTTTCCGAGGACGTTTCTGTCAACAAGTTCTTCGACGACCCGATGCTCCTCGAGCTGGCCAAGCAACAAGATTATGCCGGATTCTAAATTCTTCTGTTGAATATCTAAATACCCATTTTTAACTTATTATTTTCTCTCTTGTTTCACACTTTTCATTTATCATCGTTCGGTGGGCTGAGACACTGATCTCAATCGTAAAATGAACCTGATTTCTATATTCACTCCATCATTGAAAACATTCATATATCATAAATAGTAAGAAAAAGACGAACGGGGAAGAAAGGAGAAGACATGGAAAACAAATTGTGAATATAATTAGGAGGGATGGAAACAGGATAGTTTTAAAAATTAAAAAGGAAAGGACATTCATAAAAATCTAATCAAAGTCAATGGTGAAGCGCTCGATGCCCCACGAGGAACGATCGCGGAAAATTTTGAATAGTTGACGATGTCCGAGAAGTTTTGTCCATTCTGGAAGGGTGTTCTTGTCGGCACGGTATTCAAAGAGAAGACGTCCGATTGTTTGTAGAGACAGTCTGAAAATTGATCATATTATGGGAGCTATTTATATCCTCCTTCTTACTTTTGAATAGTGTTTTTGCTGAATGTAGGCGCATGAAGTCGGGTTTCAAGGCTTTCCAGTGTTTCTTGCATGTGTTGTTCGTCCACATCATTCTCGATCAAATCAACTAGGCGACAGTAGTCCATGTACACCATTCCAGTCGCTCCCCATTCCGGAATCTGATTTTCGAAAGGATGAAGCAGTATACACGCCGATTTCAGAGCTTCGTGATCACCAGCTACTACAGCGGTTGGTGCGATTTCATCAACGAACAATCGTCGCATCTCCATATAGTTTTTGGCAGCAACAGCCAATTCGAAGAGCTGGGTGGCATCGTTATCTGCCTTGGCGATTGAGAATTGAGCCTCTGCAATCCACTCGGGTGGAATATCGAACTGTCCCGAGATTCCTTCAAAGGGGTAGTTGACGCCAAAGCAGCCAAAGCGATTCAGAAGAGAACGAACTGCCGTTGCTCGTCTGTAACATTACTTGGTTATTCATTTCACTTTCTACTTAAACTCACTCTTCGTCGTCCTCGATATGCTGAAGAATGAACATGGCATAGTTATTCAGCTTCAAAGCTTCCAATTGTGCAGCGTAGCCTCTATGAACTCGAGTTTCCGCCGTTTTCGACATTGTTCTAAAGCCAACAGAATGAAGAACACTCCAGACGTGCCATTGAAGGAAATGATCGTGTGGGTTTTCTCCAGCAGCACAGTCAAGAACGACTTCCACAGAGTGTTGAGATTCACAAGCCAACTTGATGAGCTCTCCATACAGATCACCACGATTTGACGCTGCGCGTTCGGCGTTGACGTCCTTCTGATAAGCATCATATGCCTCCTCGAGTCCACCCCATTGGCGGAGATACCATACATGAAGACCGAGAGCTTGAACCCAGCTGAGACCCTCCATACAGTTGATTGAATGGGATTGTCCTTCGTGAGTCCATTGATAATGGGATAATCCAGCCATCAAGATGTAGCATTTGAGAGTTGATTTTGGAATCAAATGAAGGATATCACACTTCTTCCAGTTCTCGATTTGTGCCTTGAAACAATGAATGGTGGCCTCCGGGCAGACAATAGAGGATTGAAGAATTGAGGCCAGTTGAGGTTGATTGGTGTCAATTGCTAAATGGAACGCCTTCTCCACGTCTCCAACACAAATCTGATTCCATACAGCAGTCGATGGGGAATCACGAGAAACACCTCTCTCTTCTGGAGCATTCTTAATAGCCTCATTCTTGAGCCACTCCGAAATCTGCTCTCCTCGTTCGAAAGACCATCCTTCTTGACGTTCAGCTGGGAATAATGCCAGAAGAAGCTTCCAAACAGATACATGCCCATCGTATCCACCGGATTGAGCAATATCAATGTATTGTCTGAACATTTGAGAGTAGGTGTCAGTGTAGGTGGCGAATGTGGAAGTGAGCGCGGAGACAGTAGCTTCGGAAGATTGAGAGGAAGGTCCTTTTCGGGAGGTCTCTGCATGATCAATATTGACGTCGAGCATCGAGATCAATGTATCCTGAAAATTATATTTTGCTCTCTGGCTTCTTAGAACTATTTTACCTCATTAACATCAGACGCTCTATCAATCGTTCCGAAGAGAATTTCGTTGTGAATCGGCTGGGAAGACCAAACAAGACTTCCAGTCTCACTCCAGCCAATTCGAGAATTTCTTCCTTTCACAACAGCTAGATCTATCAATTTACTTTTTCCATATCCAATCATTTTGGTTTCACGAGCACCTCCATTGAATCGATGTGCTGGTTCTTTTGGTTTTGGCATCACTTTGAGCTCTTGCATGTTACGAATGAATCGACTACTCTCGTATTCCAAATCGTTTAGCAACTCGAGTTTCGGCTTCTTCTCTGGCTGTTGACCTTCTTCTAGAGTCAACGACTCATCATCCTCGAACTCATTTGCCATAGTTGAAATGTTGTTCTCTTCACGACCGATATCAACACCACCACCACCGAGTCCAGGAACATTTCTGCGGCGGACAATGGTAACAACGTCTCCCAATGGAACAGGAGCTGGCACAATTTCAAGAACAGTCTGAAAAGAAAGAAAAGTGTGTATTCAAATAGTGCAGTTGCTTTGCTGTTTGCCAATACCATTTGAGGGCTTTTAAAGAACACGTTTATTGCGTAAAACTGCAGAAAATTTAATAATTGGTGACGATGATTCTTGGAATATCAGCCTGCCTTCGATGGTATTGGCAAGCAGAGTGTGAAGTGAAATGATAAGTAACAATTGAAGTGATCAAAGAGAAAAATAAGAATACCAGGAAAAATTAGACAGAGAAAGGAAACACGAAACACGATGAGTGAGAAATGAATACTTAAAAACGGACCTCTCGTTGTTGAGCAGCATCCGGTGTCAGATGAATTTTCTTTCTTTGCACTTGATTGTTGACGTCTCTTACAGAGGTGTTCATGTCGAGCTGTAATTTGTTATACAGTTAAAATCGAAGTTTTGGATCAAAAAAACTCACAGTTTGAAGTGGAGCAGCCTTTTGCCCTTGTGGAGGGGCGACTTCCATCGGTTCGTCATCATCATCAGCCAAACCATATTTACTGAAGTGTTCCACTCGGAACACCCAGCTTCCAGTCTCTGCACGATAGTCCTTGAACGATGCTCCCATGCGAATCGTTTGTCTTTCGAGATGTTCTCTCCATCCAACTTCAGCTAGTTTCACAACATCACGAACCTCCTTTTTAGTTTTCTTGTCCGTATACCAGATTCTTTCCAATGTCACTTCGGCTGGTCTATTCAATTCTTGGCCTTCATCGGGTTTCTTCTCTTCATTCGGATAAACAGTAACTTCGCGATGACGGAACACGACGATCTCGTCAAGAACAAGATCTTTGAGTTCCAGCTTGCCGGGCCAGTAGACACTTCCATACGATGATCTTCCGATGGTCAATCCATCTTCTAGAACAACACGTCCATTCTTCACCATTGACTTCATCTCGTTGATAGTTGGAAGTGAAAAATAATCTGGTTTGCTGAGTTTCACTCCAGCTGCGGCGTTGTCGGTTGAGTTTTCCTCTGATGGTGTTGAAACAACAGAAGTAGCAGAGCTTGCCGTGGAAACTGGTTCCAAACCAGTGTGCTCATCGCAAGTTGTATCCAGATTCAACGATGGTGGATCTCTGTTTCTATCCTGATGACGTTGCATGACAGCTTGCACTGGATCAACAGATGGGGTTGATGTGACGATGTCACTTCTTCTATCGTTTTCAGAGATTCTTGGCAATGCATCAGGGTCTGCGACACGGGAATCTCTTCCGATGGATCCGTTTCTGGACGAATCACCGAGAACGGACAAATCCAGTTGCTTCAAATTTGACTTCCTAGTCGATCCTCGAATTCCCAGCCGGTTTCCAGTTCCATTAATGGATGCATCCAGTGTAGAATCGATAGTTCTGTTGAGAGCACTGGACTCATGGACACTCTGGTTGGCCACAGAGTGATTTGGATTGAATGTACTATTTCTGAGCCCTCTTCCAAGAGAAGGTGGAGCTTCTTTCGAAGTATAATTAAGATCCTTCGTCACCTCAGAAGTTCTGGATAGTGCTGGAGATAAATCACTCATGACCTTGCTGATAGGAGGAACGATGAATGACGACTCTTGACTTGGAGACAGAAGAGATCCTTTCTTGGCTGCAAGAAGACGGAGTTGGCGTTGTTGGGCGCTCATTGGGGAGTCTTTTGCGTTTGTTTCACTGTTATTGTACTTGAGAAGCGAAGAATCTCCATATGGTGCATAAGTCAACTGTGACTGCAATGACTTCATGTTTGCTTGCATTTGCAAAACATCAGCTGTAACTCCAATTACAGGAATTGGTGCAACTTGTTGTTGAACAACGACTTGTGGTTGTGCCACATTTCCAAATCCAGTGTTTAATGGCTGCGTGGTTTGGGCGTTTGAACCGAAAAGTCCTCCCGATGTGGCTTGAGGTTGCGAGCCGAAAAGACCACCTCCAGTAGTGCCAGTAGTAGTTGAACCGAAAAGGCCTCCTGGCTTGGCAGCATTGTTTCCGAAAAGACCACCACCAGTGTTGTTCGTGGAACCAAATGCATTCGTAGTAGTTGGTTGACTGCCGCCAAAGTTGAATCCCGTGCTTGTGGCTGGTTTTGATCCAAACAAGGAACCACCAGTGGTATTCGTTGCTGTGTTTCCGAATAAACTTCCTCCGGTACCAGCGGGTTGGCCGAAAGCATTGTTTGTAGTCTGCTAAACAATCGAATATTTTTAGATATTTAGAAAAAGAAACACTTACCGTATTATTGCCGCCGAAGTTGAATCCACTTGCTTGTTGTTGCTGCGTGTTCTGCCCGAAAAGACCACTGCCGGTTGTTGTATTAGAGTTGCCGAAGAGCGATCCTCCGGCTGGTTGCTGTTGCTGAGGCTGGCCGAATAAAGAAGTGGATGCTCCCTGTTGCTGCTGATTCCCGAACAAAGACGATCCTGTGGTTTGACCAAATGTCGATCCTCCTGTAGTGGCTAATTCTTTGATTATAAATTTTTATGGTTTTAAATCTTACCTGTGTTGTTGTTCCCGAAAAGAGAATTTGTAGCTGGCTTGCTTCCGAACAACGAGTTACTAGCTGCAGAAGTGTTCGCGTTACTTCCGAAAAGTCCTGATCCAGTTGTTGTGGCGTTGTTATTTGCACCAAACGGAGATGCAGTAGACGTTGATCCGAACAGGCCAGTCTTTTGTTGGGTGTTGTTTCCGAACAGCCCACCACCAGTTTGATTTGTGGTTGTGTTGGAACCACCGAATAAATTGTTACCAGTTGTCGTGGTTCCTGCTGCCGGAGCTTTTCGGTTGGCCATGTAGTCCTCCACTCTCAACTCATCCATACTCTTGTCGATATACTTATTCATTGCGGAGATGCACATGTGTTTTGTGGAAATGTTTTGAGTTGTTCCGTTCCGCATCATAGTATCCGAAGCGATCGGTGGATCGAACTTGACTGTTGTACCTGTCATAGCTGATCCTGTAGCTGAGGAAAACATACATATTATTACTACTTTCAGTTTGAAACTAACCTCCAAAAAGACCTCCACCTGATGTGTTGTTGCTGGAACCAAAAATACTCGAAGTTCCTGCATTTCCAGCTGTATTGCCACCGAACAAAGAGCTACTATTTTGTGTTGTAGTCGTTGAAGCTCCGAATAGAGATCTGTTGGCATTGCTCTGGGCTCCAAATAGTGAACTTTGGTTGCTTTGCGTTTGTGGAGAGCCTGAAACTATTTAATGAAAATAATTCGAAAAAACCTATCCTTACCGAAAAGATTAGATGTGTTGTTTGTAGTATTGCCGAAAAGTGAGCCTGCGGGCTTCTGTGCATTTCCGAATAAACTAGAGGAGGTGGTTTGCTGGTTTGCATTTTGTCCGAACAGGCCTTTGTTTTGATTATTTTGCCCGAAGAGCCCACTCCCGCTACTGGATCCAAAACTCGAAGAACCGAATGACTTGTTCTGACCGAACATTTTGGCTGAAAGAATTAACTCAATGAGAAACGATCGGACATAAAAATTACAAAAAAACAGCCTTCCAGCCAGTTATTCGATAAACTTGAAGAAAAATGAGACAAACGAGTTGGCGGCTGATTGGGAAACAAAATAATTCAAACTTCGAAAAAAGACGGAACGAGGGAATCCAAAAATTGGCATCGGAGCGCGCTTACAACACTACATCACGGTTGCTCTGCGTCCCTTCGTTTAGCACACTCTCTCGCTGCGCAGCCGACTTTGGACAGCTCGCTTCGTCTCTATTTTCCCGCAATTTCGTGGCCTTTCCTGGCTTTTATGTACAAACCAGCTTTGCGAACTTGTTACGATTCATATTACGAATAACCCAAAACTATTTGTTTCACACAATTTTTCTATTTAGACATTCTTGAAATGACATAACAAGTATGGGTAACACAATACTGACAGGACGCTCGAATGCGATTGCTCCGATAATTAGTGCAGAAGACGCCAGAACTCATAGTAAAACTGAAAAACAATGGTTGAAATTATGATGTTTGAATTTTCAGTAACCGAAGAAGAGTATCGACGGATTCGGCAGGCATTCCAGAGATTTAAGAATGGCTGTATCAACTACGATGTAAGAATTTCAATTTTAATTTTTTTTCCTCAATGTTAAAATTCAGGAATTTTGCTACCATGTCCTCGGAGGAGCACAAATTCCAGAAGACAAACGACGTCTTCTGTTCAGCTTCTTCTCTCATGGTGCCGAGACGATTTCTTTCGATAATCTCCTATCCTCGCTCGTCGGATTATGTAGAGTAGAAGAAGTGCAATCGAGTAAGGGGTTCCTGAATTTTTCAACGAATTCTTTTTTTTCAGGATTCATTGAAGAATATCATGAATTCGCTTCGTGGGGATTGAGTCCGCCTAAGCTCACGATTCCACTCAACGACTCCTACATCTCGTTTTATGAAGTAATGTCTTATGTGACTCATTGTAGGTTCCAACTATCTCATTATTTTTAAAAACTTAATTTCAGTATCTGTAAAAGAAGTGATAGAGTTGGAGAAGGTTTTCGCCACGATCAGTGACCGCGCCGTCTGCAAATTGAACGTAGAAAAGTGGAAACAAGCACTCGGAGGATGCTTCCCGGACACTTATGCCGAAAGACTATTCGCCGTTTTTGATGAGAATCGGGATTGTCAAATTGACTTCAGGGAACTTGTCTGCACACTTTCTGCACTATGTAGAGGTCCCCATCCTGGAAGGATATCCCGTAAGAATTTAATCTAAAAAATTGACAAGTTAATTTTTGGTTTTGAACTTAAGAGCTCGCAAGAATCTGGGATGTAGATTGCGACAAGCTGCTTTCCGATGAAGAGCTTTCTAACATGTATGCCGATTTGGGAGTTCCTGTGGAGCATCAAACTGTAACGAAATCAGCGAATGGGAAAGCGGCACTGGTAGATTTTGGAATATGGGCACAAGAGAACGAAAGATACATCGCTAAATACTACTCGATGGCTCTTCAAATTGGACACATCTGTCTCGGTTTGAGGCCTGAATCCAAGAAGATGGAACTTCAAGTTGTCAATGAATTCGAATCTCGTGCATCGGAACTGCCGCTCTCTGAATGGAATATTGTTGCATCTGGATGGCATTCTGAATATCGAACATTACTAGAAGCTGAGAGAACTCCAAATCCTATTGACAATTCAGGAATCAAAGGAACAAGAGAAGACAGTTGGACCAGTAGAGTGAGTTTCTAAAACCCAACACGCTGCCTATATCGATCGGAAAGTTGCTTCAGGTTGCTTGTATCTCTGCCGAATCTGCTCGACTCAAACCTGACCTACTCCCTATGGACTATATCCGTGTGCCTGTTCCTCTATGGAGAGCTTGGCTGCGATGGCACGGGTGTGCGTTAACAGTGGATTCGCAATTCACTCGGAAGTATCTGGATGGCGAATTCTTTGAAGACAACAAACCCTCTCTTGAGCTCTATCCGTTAGAGATTCTCTTTCTTGGTCATGATCGCAAGAAAAGTCACGATGGAACGGAAACAACTCCTCGATCATTGACACCATGGGCGTGTGCACAAGTATCTCGAAGCATGACAGTGGCGAACTTTTGGCTTTGTGTAAGACAGAACTACGATTGGGAGATGGTGATGCACGTTTATGGCAAGTGGTCAAAGAGAATGAGGAAGGAAATGTTCTTCTGGATGATGGAAATCAAAACTTACACCAGCTGTATACGGCACTCGGAAAGACGAAGAAAGTGAATAAAATGAAGTTGCTTCTAGAAGTCCGAGAAAGAGGAACAGGAGTTTGGCCAGAGGAATTGAGAGCTTCTCTTTCCGGGAAACAAATCACTGCGGCTTCCACACTATCTTCTTCAAATGCACAGTTGTCAGGTAATTTTTTTCGTAAAATTTTGCCCTCAACCCCAGAAAGATGATTATACAGGTCGTCCAGGAGCTGTTGGTCTCGTGAATTACGGTAACTTCTGCTATCGAAACGCTGGAATCCAGTGCCTCGCGAGAGTGTCTCCATTGACACAATACTTGCTGGAAGATGAGCATTTGGATGAGTTGAAGAAGGCAAATACGAAAAGAAGGGATGCTGTGGAGACAACGATTGAGTATGCGAAGCTGTTGAGAGAGATGTGGGCGGCGAAGAAGAAGAACATCGCTCCGAACGATTTCAATGACGCCATCCGAATGAACTCGGACATGTTCGAGTGTAGTGAGCAGCATGACTGTCAGGAGTTCGTCGCATTCCTTCTCGATCAGCTTCATACTTCAATGTATGAAGCCAATAAAACTCTCCATCCTCCACCACCTGCAAAAGACCCCAAGAAAGAAGAGGAAAATCATGAAATAGAAGAAACTGACGAAGAAAAAGCAGAAAGATCATGGACAGAGTATGAAAAACAGAACGAATCTCTTGTCACACAACTCTTCACCGGACAGCTACGCTCTCGTCTAGTCTGCAGAACATGTCAATCCAGTTCGAGCGTCTTTGAGCCATTTACCTCACTTTCGCTGCCAATTGGGTTTGAAGATGTCGACTTGTATCAAGTTATTGGTAAGATTTCATATAGCAGCTTATATCAATTCATTGTTTCTCCAGTCGTCCATCGAGATGGTAGGATTCCTCGTCGATATGGTTTCAGACTGTCTCGTGACTCCAAAATCGGACATCTTCGAGAAGTGGTAGCAGCTTCCAGTGGAATATCGATGTCACATATCACGATTCAATGCATGTCAAGTAAAGGAACATTGATGAGTCGATCACCGAACCATCGAAGTTCGAACTTGAGAGATGAACTTCCGTTGAGCTCATTCCCGTCTGGAGCTCGGCTTTATGCACTTGAGCTACCGGAAAGTACGGGAGAAGATGAGTGGAGAGTGGCTATGCATAGGAAGTTACAGTATAACCATGAACCTCACATTCTCGGATCCACCGCAGGCTTTATAGTTTCCCGATTCGGACTGCCGTTGATTGTTGGTCTAGATGAACATGTAACAGGAAAGAAGCTCTACGAAGACGTCATGTATCAAATGCATCGATTTATGGAGCATTCGGTGAATTCCTTCTCGAGCAGAGCTCACGATCCTTGTGAGGATGATGCATCCGGCTTCCCATTCACTTTGTGTCTCGTCGATCAGAATTATGAGTGGTGTGGACAGTGCCCTGCACTCAGATTCTGTAGAGGTTGTCCAATCCGACCGGATGATAACAAAGTCTTCATTCCTGCAAACAGCCCAATTGCCGTGGATTGGTTCCCGATTGCTCTTTATCTTCGATACAACCATTCTGAAGAGCAAGCGTGTGAAGATGATCCATCGGTTGCTGAAACATGGTCGAGGCACTTTGCACCTAGCTCTCTTGAGCACTGCATTGAAAAGTTCTCTTGTCCGGAGACACTCGACGCCGCGATTCAATGTGATCGATGTGAGAAGAAGACAACTAGAGACAAGGTTATGACAATATGGAAGCTTCCTAAATATCTGGTAGGTGAAAATTTCCTAAATATTTGGTAGGTAATTGTTCCTTTTCTAGATCATCCATTTGAAACGATTCGAGTTTCTCCGCGAGCAAGGTAGGATGGGCAAGTGTAAGAGAACAGTCAACTTCCCACTAAAACATTTCGATCCAGCTCCATTTGTTGATAAACCGGATGGCAATACTTATGAATGTATTGCACTTGCTGTGCGTTTCTAGTTGAGATTTTTAATTTTTTAATTTGAATTTCAGAATCACTATGGTCAATTGTCATGTGGTCACTTCATCGCATATGCGAAAAGTAACGAAGACAAATGGTTACTTCTGAACGATTGTTCCGTTAGAGTAAGTTCATTTTCCAAATGTTTTAATATTATCTTTTTTTCAGGAAGTATCCGAAGAAGAAGTCGACAAGCAAGGTGCATATCTTCTGTTCTACGAAAGAAAAGATGTCAAATAACAATAATCTTAAATATTTATATACTTTGAAACAAATAATATTAGCTCAAGCATGCTGGCCATTTATTCCTTCTCCCTTTCCTTGACAAAATTCTACGATGATTCTATTTTTTTGGTTTCCTAATATGTTCATTTTTCTCTCTTATCCTTGTGTACATATTTTCTTCACTTGCTAGTCAACCTCAAATTCTTTCCCACCTATTTCACTTTTTTACGTACTGGATGAATTTTAATGCATTTTTCCCCTCACGTGAATGACGTGTAAGAACAGCGTGTGATCTTGGAGGCTTGGATGGTTGTTTAGGTCCCTTGTAACCCTCCAATATGAGCCATGATGTTCTGACGCCTGACGACGCGCTTAGCGAACCACAAGAGGTAATTAAGCGCCGCGCCAGCAATCAACGCCCCTGCCTGTTTCCAGCAAAACACGCAACCTTTGAGCGAAGATTATAAATCGGATCGTACACAAGTGGAAACTGAAAAATCTCCACCCAAATCAACGGATAAAGAGAGAATCGAACTGCCGAAAGAGCCACTTCTGAAGCCGTACGTTCAGAAGGAAAATGTACACGCGCAGATTGTAGAAGATGATTTGGAAGAGGCTCAGAACAGATTCCGAGTTGATTCCACACAAACTTACACAGTTGCAGAGGACTTTAAGGCTTTAGAAGATATTGGGAAGGATAAGAAAAATAGGGAAAAGAGTTCTGAAGGGAAGAGAGAGAGAGATCGAGTGTTGAGATGGAAAGGGATTACGGTAGAGGAGATGAAGAAGAAGAGGGTGGAAAGAACGATTTTGGATGATAGTATGGATAAGAATGGAAATTTCTTAATGCATTTGGTTTTTAGTAAGTGGTCATGCGTTCGGTGGAGAGTTGACATTCATAATGGGATCGTCGGGTGCTGGAAAAACTACACTTTTGAATGTGCTAACTGGAAGAAATAAGGGAAGTTTGAGAACGAATGGAGAGATCTCTTTGAATGGGTAATTTTTTGTTCAATTTTGTAACTTTTCATTGCATAAAAATGTTCCCAAAGTGGTGGATTTTCATGTTTCTGCTTCGATAAAACTCAGAAATGTTTGAAATCCCTGACAAACGCCGCGAAGCGCGCTCAGTCTCGTCCAAATTGTTTTCATGTAATTTTTGAGCCATTTGTGAGGTCAACGAGACTTTCTTGTCCTTATTGTCGAGTTTTCAATTAAATAATTCAATTTTTCTGAAAAAAAGAGAATCATGACCGAAAACGGCGTCATTTTGAAGGGTTTTGAATTTTTTAAAAGTAAGATTAGGAAAATTCATAACTCTGGGAGCATATTAAACCAAAAACATATATGAAATTTTGGTTAAAGTCCCCTTCAATCAAATTTAACCTAAATACTAGGTAAGATTTCCAGACGTAAGATGACGTCTTCTGGAATGAAACAACTCAGCGCTTATGTTCAACAAGAAGATGTTTTCATGGCGAGTCAAACAGTTTCAGAAGTTCTTCATTTTGCTGTCAAAATGAGAAGTCCGGAGAGGTTGAGCAAGAAGAAAAGAAAGAATTTAGTAGAGAGTATGTTGACGACTTTTGGATTGAAGAATTGTGAGAATACCCGAGTAGGATCAGTAAAAGAGAAGGGAATATCGAGAGGGGAGAAGAAAAGATTGACGATTGCTTGTGAGGTTAGAATTACTAGAAACCAGAGATTTCCGAATTTTGGATTCTCAGATTCCAGATTTCGTACTCCGGATTCCGAATTTCGGATTCTGGATTCCAAATTCCAGACTCCAGATTCCAGATTCTGAGATTATGAGGTTCTGAGATTCTGAGATTCTGAGACTCTGAGACTTTGAGATTCTGAGATTCTGAGACTCTGAGACTCTGAGACTCTGAGATTCTGAGATTCTGAGATTCTGAGACTCTGAGATTCTGAGATTCTGAGATTCTAAGATTCTGAGGTTTTGAGATTCTGAGATTCTGAGATTTTGAGGTTCTGAGATTCTGAGATTCTGAGACTCTGAGACTCTGAGATTCTGAGACTCTGAGACTCTGAGATTCTGAGATTCTGAGATTCTGAGACTCTGAGATTCTGAGATTCTGAGATTCTGAGATTCTGAGGTTTTGAGATTCTGAGATTCTGAGATTCTGAGATTCTGATATTTTGAGATTCTGAGATTCTGAGATTCTGAGATTCTGAGATTTTGAGATTCTGAGATTCTGAGATTCTGGATTCCGGATTCCAGATTCCGGATTCCAGATTCCAGATTCCAGATTCCGAAACACTGCCTACTTTTCAGATCCTCACAGATCCTCCAGTCTTATTCTGCGATGAGCCAACATCAGGACTAGATTCTTTTATGTCTCATCAAGTGATGAAATGTCTCAAGGATCTTGCCAAAGAAGGAAAGATCGTGATCTGCACCATTCATCAACCTAGCACATGGGTATATCAGATGGCTGATCGACTAGTGGTCCTGTGTCTTGGAAAAGTTGCTTTTGAAGGTCGAACCAAAAATGTGGAGGCATTTTTGTAAAGTTGGGATCACCGGTCCCAGATCATGCCAGTGTCAGTGACCGTTTTGTTCGGGTACTGTCTAGAAATGTTCGTGAGCAGCAAACGGATTATGAGGCTAGGATGCAGGTAATAGTTGTAAATTTTCAAGCAAAAAAAATCTCGGGCTTTCAGAAAATTCTAAAAACCCAACTGTCCAAAGATCGTCTGACACTGTCGGAATCCGTTAGGTATCAGAAATCAAAAGATGAAAACTTGAGAAAGAAAATTCACCGGAGTTGGTGTTTTCAGTTTTTTGCTTTGATCGGGAGAGGATTAGTTCAAATAACCAGAAGGAAGAAATATATTTTAGCACGGTTGATTTTGACAGTGGTAGGCAGGGGTGGGCGTGGCGGAGGGTCCCACAACGATAACTACCATAATCTAAAAATTATATATAAAAGTTTCATTTTCCGTATTTATTTTCTCGATTTTCGGGCGTTTTCAGGAATTTTTCAACTATCAAAAAACATTATTTTTAGGCACAAAAAGCATTAAAACGAAAAAAAAAAATGAATGCAAAAAAGTTGAATATTTTCAGGTTACGGTAATTGTCGTTGTGGGACCTTTTTTCTCTTCCGCATCTCCAATTTTTCAGCTAGTCTCCTGGTTCCTCGGAATGGTATATCTTCAAATTCCAATCAACAGAGACAATCTTCTTGGCATCAAAGGTGTCATTTTTGCAACTCTCCAGATGAACAACATTCTCTATATGATGCCTAGTCTTATTGTAAATGAGATCCTCGATTGAGCTTAATTTAGATGAAAAAATTTTCAGTCATTCTGGGAAGACTATGCCGTTGTTGTGAGGGAATATCAGTCGAATATGTACTCTCCTAGTGCCTACTTCATGGCGAGATCATTCACTGATGTAAGTTGTCAACTTTGAGCTCATATATCTCAATTCCTGTAAAAGATATCAAAAATTTGAGAACAAAAAAATGTTTCTGATATCATAATAAATTTTTATCAGTTGTTTACTTTTTGATAACATTCACAGAAGTTGAGATAATTGAATTCAAAGTTGATAGTTCGCTAAAATCTAAAGTTTCCAGTCTCTCCTCCATCTATTCTATCCAATCATCTTTTTCTCGATTATCTATTTCATGACTGGTCTTCCAATCACTATCATCGGAATGTCTACTTTCCTGACAATGTGTATCGCTATGTCCATGATTATCACCTCCCTTTGTAAGATTCTGAACTTTTAGTCTTGATTTCTTTATTTCAAAAATTTTGCAGCTCATGCTGTAGTTTCTCTCTGTGGAAATGCTACAATCTCTTTGACAGTTGCCCCATTGATATCAGTTCCCGTAATGGTTTTTGGCGGATTTTTGATTACGGTAAAAGCGATACCAATTTATTACAAACCATTGAGCTATGTTTCGTGGTATCACTACGCATTTGAGGCCAATATGATAGCTCTTTTCAAGGATCATGGAGTCATTGAAGGTGGTTTTCCTGTCATGAAGATTTTTCATCTATCATTGGAAATTGTAGGTTGTAATCAAACTTCGATTATCACATCTGCCATGAATATGGAGTGCTCAACTGGATTAAAGTTGATAGAAGATCAAGATTTTGATGTAGATCATTTCTGGATGGATTTTGTAGCGGTCGGAGCAATTTTAATTTTCTGGAAAGTCTTTGGTCTGATTGCTTTTGTTTGGAGAATTCGGAGTACTACATAACTGCGAACTGTTTGTTTTGTTTATGATTTCAATAAAACATTTTCAAGTTTTTCGTTTTTGAAGTTAACGACAAAGTTGACGGTTTGGTGCACATCTATTCTATTTGAGAAAATATCTTTCCCAGAAATTGTTTCAAAATAATATTTTTGTCCTCCTGTATTTCAAAAGATATGTTCAGAACTTAAACAATTATTATAATAGCATCATCTCCTTAATTGACCCTCTAATAGATGTATTTGGTGAACAAATGGATCGGTATCTCAAATTACAAAAAAACACAGTTTACCCTGTTAATCACAGGTTATGGCTCATTAACGAGAATGATGGTTGGGAAATTTGAGATATTTAGAATTATTACGAAAGAATGCAATATACCGTAAACACTCTGATAGAAGGCCACCAAATACTTTTAACTTTGAGCCTATTTGTCTCAGTTCGTGTAAAAGATATCATATAATGTCAACTGATAAAATGTTGCTGATATTATGATAAATATTTTGTCAGTGACCACCTTTTGATATCTGTTAAAAAACATGACATAGATGTGCTTAAAGTGAACGGTTTAGGTGACCTTCTATTAGAGTACTTAGGACAGGTGTTGATTAAAATGGAAACGGTCAAAAGGGAATTTAATTTCACACTCAATTTCGGGTCAGCATCCTTCCCTTTATCCCTAAATAAACAACCACCTCCCACTGATTTCCTAACCCCGTAAACGGATATAAAATAGAGATTATCCTCGAAATCAGTAGGTCAGTGGACACGTGGATATCGAGTTACACAATTTGTATGGAGAGTAGGAGAGAGGAGGTAATGAGACACTGTAGTTGGATAACTATTACGTAAGTATGAGCGATAACGTGCTGGTAGGGCAAACAAACTTCATGAGGTGCAGAAAATAAGAAGAACTCCATGGCCTAGGAAAATGAAAAAAAGAAAAACTAGTCCACATTGTTAATACAAAATCACTTCATTTTATATTCAATTTTCAAGCTTTTCAAGAATTTGTTTATAAAGTTAAAAACAAACAGATAACATTTATTATAACAGTTTCTAAAAGATCAGAACATTGAAAATAGAGACTTCAGGAAGCGATTTTTGAAGTCGGAAGCGGACATTCTCGGAAGTCGGATATCGGAAAGCTAAGCGTACACTATTAATTGCTTTTCATTTTCTTAAAAAAATTGATTTCGGTCATTTGGTAAAAGGGGGACGTTCAGTGATAAACACCTAGCCATGAACCCCAAACAATGGCGACCCGAGGCCTTTTAGTACTTTTTTTACTTCCATGACGTCAGTCTTCTAAAAAAATGAATAGCAACGAGTAGCGCATGCGTAGCTTCCGAGCATCCGTCCTCCAACCATCATCCTGTGTTGCTGACTCATTCCGTGATCCAACCAGATTGACTGCTCTCCTGCTTGCTTTTTATCGTTGATCATCTCCCATCAATTGAACCATAAAAGCTTCCCTGGAATCACGTTTCAACTCGGACTCCTCATCGACTCCTCTGTCCGACTTCTTGTTGAATTCTCCAGCTTATATAGCCCCTGTAAATCAGATCTGAAGATAAAATAAGAAAAGATTTCATGAAAGTAGCACGCGGAAATGTTGTAACTTTTTTTTAGATTACTGTAGTTTTCGACTATAATCAGTTGCAATCACCACGCTGAAAATTTTGCATATTAATTTTTTGGTGGTACCAGGGATGAGAACTCGGAAAATGAGAACTGCTACATATGAGAACTCGTACGAATAAGAACTCGGAGAGTACATGGCAAACACGGATTTTTTTTGGAAAATCTTGAAGTATTGTGAAGAACAAGACCATTTCGAAAATATTTTTCAAAAAGATTGGATCCTGAGCCTGAAATTAGAGCCGGAAAACGAGTTCTTATTTTTCTAGTTCTCATATGTAGCAGTTCTCATTTTCCGAGTTCTCATCCCTGGTACCACCAATTTTTTTCATCCAATTCTGAATTTGTCTTTTTTTTCTCAAATTTTCCGACAGCATTATTTGAATTCCAGAACTACAGATTTTTTTCAATTCATTCAAAATTTTCGGTTTTTATGGTTTTTTTTATTTCGACACCCGTTAACCCTCTTAATAGTTTATTCTAAACACTCTCTGGTGTCAAAATAAATGGCCTGCACGTAATCGGACACTGTTGTTGAATGAGTATTGCGTAAGAAGGGAAACGATAAAGTGCTAAACAAAAGTATGAGGTTAGCACTATGAGGGAGGGAGGTTAGGTGCCTTGTTAAAGTAGGAATGGGGATTTGTAATACAGACATTCGAGAATTTCGGCGTTATCTGAAATTTTTCAATTTTTTGAATTTTATCAAAAATGTTCAAAATACGATAGAGAAACTCGCATACTGGCTACAGTACAGTAGCTATAGTAGTCCTTTTGATTTTCGAGATTCTGAGATTCTGAGACTCTGAGATTCTGAGATTCTGAGATTATGAGATTCTGAGATTCTGAGATTCTGAGATTCTGAGATTCTGAGATTCTGAGATTCTGAGATTCTGAGATTCTGAGATTCTGAGATTCTGAGATTATGAGATTCTGAGATTCTGAGGTTTTGAGATTCTGAGATTCTGAGATTTTGAGATTTTGAGATTTTGAGATTTTGAGATTCTGAGATTCTGAGATTCTGAGATGCAGCACCTCATGAAGTTTGTTTGATAATCCAGAGGTCATATTCATGAACAGTTTCCTTTAGAGAACTAGTTCTCTCCATAAATCATAAACCCAGATTTTGTATTCTTGATCACATTGAAAGATTATCAGTTAAACACTCATTGAGTACAATTTTCTTCTTTCAGTTTGTTTCACTTCACGTCTCCTGGATCCGTTACTCAACATCCCAAGGAAGCTTTGTAGTATTCCCAAACTTCCTATCTTGATCTTACCACAGCTATTATCCCCCTTGCAAATTATTGTTTCTTACCCATTTCCTCCTCTTCCGTCACAATTACCGCCATCGTATCCCACGAAAGATACCATCTTATAAAAACTGACGAGGTGTGACCAATTCGATGTTTATCTGTGTGTAGTTGTAGTACTGTGCCGGAAAAAAAGCCAGTGTACAACTCAATGATTTCTCATTTCCGCTTCTTTAGCCAAAAAACAATAGTTTCCATTGATTATGACTCATGAAATATAGTAAAAAGGAGGGAACCAGACAAGTGGAGGAGGAAAACAAAATTTTACGACTTTTGCAAATTTATAAAAACTTTTTAATATTCAGAATATGGAACAGAGTTTGAGAGATGTTCGAGAAAATCCTGAAACATCACATCATGGTGTAAATCAAAGTTGAAAAATACCGTAAACGCTCTTACAGAAGACCACCATATACTTGAAATTTAAACTCTTATACCTCGCTTCTTGTAACAGATATCAAAAAGCAATCAACTGACAAAATATTCCTTATAATGTCAAAAACATTTTGTTAGTTAACAAATTTTTGATATCTTTTACAGGAACTTAGATAAATTGTCTCAAAGTTGAAAGTCAGCCAATAGGAGGTAACCACTAGGGTCTAAAAGTGTCAGAAAGGCTGAACCTCCCGCTTCAAAGCTATCAAGATTTCAGGTCCACGAATGTTTTTTCTGAATACAAAAGCTTGTAGTTTCTTTAATCGGATCCAGGCCAACCGTAATTTTTGATAAACACACCGTAAACACTAAAATAAAACGCTACGACAGCTTTCAACTTTGAGCCCATGTATCTCATTTTCTGTAAAAAATTTCAAAAAGAGGTCAACTAACAAAATGTTTATCATATCAGCAATATTTTATTAGGTAACCACTTTTTGATATCTTTTAAAGAACTCGAGATAATTGAGCTCAAAGTTGCCGTGGTGGTGGAGTTCTAGCAGAGTGTTTACGGTAATTATCAGAAAATTAAAATTCAACACCAAACTTTCATATACATGACTCCTTTGAAGTCTCATTATCCTTTCGGTAATCCTTTAAACCAACAAAACGCATACCTTTCTCTCTCACTTCCTGTCAAAAATAACACCTACACTCCGCCTACTTACCGAGTGGTCAAGTGGGCGGAGCCGAGCTGTCGCACGTATTCGGTTTGTCCCCGCCACAACGACTCAATTCTCTTCTCGATATTTATATATTTCCTGTTATGTCCCTATTATTATCAGATCTGGCCTTATTTATTCAAAATAATGAAAAATCAGTTGATGATAAGCCACATGCCGAATTAGAGGGACAGGATTTGTGGAAAGAATTTTCGGTGAAAGGAACTGAAATGGTGATAACCAAGAAAGGAAGGTTAGAAATACCCTTTAAACTAAAAATAACTATGTTCTAATATTGATTGTTTCCAGAAGAATGTTTCCAATGATTCGAACGAAATTATACGGGTTGGATTGGAAGAGCAAGTACATCATGATGCTGGAAATGGTTCAATATGATTGTTTTCGGTATAAGTTTACGAATGGAAAATGGGAAGTGTCTGGAAAAGGAGATATTCAACCGATTAGAGCACCAGTTATGCATCCGGGATCTCCCAAAACTGGTGAGGACTGGATGAAAGATGGAGCTTGTTTCAAGATGCTCAAGCTGTCGAATGATCCAATGAATGCTGATGGACATGTGAGTTTAAACTAAATAGAAAAGTTGTTTAAAATGATGCTACCAAAAATCAAATCTTCCTTTTTGTAATTACAACTTTTTTACCGAAAGTGGATAAACCTTGAACAGTTCCAAATGAAAATCTTTAGCCTTAAGGGTCTACAAAAGTATGTGGAACTTCAAAAACTCGTCTCAAATTTCTAGAGATTATTGTAAACACTCTATTAGAACGCCACCCGAATCGTCAAATTTGAGCCTATGTATCTCATTTCATGTAAGAGATATCAAAAAATGGTTAACTAATAAAATCTTGCTGATAAACATACTATCAGTTGACAACTTTTTGATATCTTTCAAAATTAGTGAGATATATAGCCTCAAAGTGGACGGTCCGGGTGGCGTTGTATTAGAGTGGTTACGATATTTGGAAAGCATGGTACTGCATTTTTGTAGTGAATCACTTTTTTTGTACAAACACATCCAAAGGAGATGGAAAAATTTAAAGATATTGTAGTTATAAACAACGTTTCGTTTGAGAATTGATTGTGCTAAAAAGCGGGCTGAAAACTCGACTTTTTGGTGTCTGAAACTGCGAAAATCGATGTTTTCAGCGTCTTTCACCCCGAAAATCGATTTCGGAGCTCTTGGATTACTGTAGTTTGATTTTTGTGCAAACACCGAAAACATCTACCACATTTTACAACGAAATTTGAATGTTCAATGAAAAAATACAAGTTTGTTTTCAGTATATTCGCCGCTTTTTCTCGTAATTTCTGGTACATTGTCTCTTTATCTGCACAGAATCGGAGCTATAGTAATCCCGGGGCTAGGATCTTCGTTTAGGACCGTTTTTTTTAAATTTAAAATGAAATTTATTTGGTCATTTTCGTGAATTTTTTTTTGAACGAAGGTAATTTAAAACTTTAGTAAATCGCTTATTCCAGATTTTCCTGAACTCAATGCATCGCTATGTTCCCCGATTCCATATTGTCCGATGCGACTGTTTTGGCAATCCAATCTTCTCAACTTTCAAAAGTTTCGTATTCGATCACACGGATTTTATTGCAGTAACGGCTTATCAGAATATAGAGGTATTACATACTCCAGTTTCAATCTTTTCATAATTTTCAAATTTTCAGGTAACAGCCAAAAAAATCGCCAACAACCCGTTTGCAAAGGGTTTCCGGAAACCAAATCTTGAAGAGAAACAACGAAGGAATAGTCGAGTTTTGAAGAAACAAGAAACCGTGGAATCTTCTTCAGAAGACATGGATCAACCTTCGATTTTGCCAAATATTTCTAATGAATTGATGGCTCAGTGGCAATTGGCACTATTCTCTTCATATGGATCTATTCAACCAGAGCCTCTGAATCTCAAAATTCCAGATATTCCAAAGAAAAGTGGATTCGGAGTGCTGGATTTGTTAGCTGAACCGAATCTATAATTTTTCTTTTTTCAATTGAATTGTCTCATTTTTCTCATTTTCTACACGGGCCGATTTTGACTCTTTCTTATTTGCTACTATTTCAGTTATTTGACCTATTTAATAAATTATTACTCATGTTATTGGACTCGGTGAAAAAACAACATTTTAATGAAATGTATGGATTATTCAAAATTATTCATTAGTTTATAGTTTCGGGGTTATTAAATGTTCTGACTTCCAGAATAGAAATTTTTACAAGTGTGGATTGTAAAGATCAAAGGGTGATCTTCAAGATTAATAGAAAGCATGAATCACTTGGGTTCAAGCGAGGGGGTCAGAAAGCGCGCTCCAGCAAACTCGTAGGCCAGAAGAAATTTAATAATTTTAAAGTGGACGCGGGTTTGATCTAGATCATGATCTATTTCTTAAAAATCAACTGGTTTCAAAGCGTGCTTTTTCGCTCTCCATTTAAAACTGTGAAACTCAGCCAACGAAATTCGGCAGCGAATTTAGAATTTTTCCTGAATTTACTGGGGCGCGCTTTCTGACCCCCTCGCTTGAACCCAAGATAATGTAAAATGGAGAAAAATTTGTCCGGAAATACAGAAACCAAAAAATCTATCTCCCGCCTAATTTCCATTAATCCCTCATTGTCAGAATGCAAAACACAAAAGACGATAAAGATTGACAAGGTGCGAAAACATTGATTTTATCTTTTTGCCTAATATAATATTTTGGGAATTTTTGCAAAAAGTTAGCGGAAATAAGGTTGTGTTGCATGCAGGCTTGGTCGGAGTCAGATAATCGGATATCCGATTATTCGAGTTTTTCGGATTATTTCGGATAAATTATCCGACGGAGAATTCTCCGAGTTATTTTTCCGGATAAACTCGGATAATTTCGCATAATTTCTCCGACAGAATATCCAAAAGTTGAGCTATCAAATAATCCAAAAATTGCTTTCTGTGGTCTTGTAGATGTTAGTTTCACTCTTTTAGTTTTTCTTAATGTTGCTGCTCATCGAAAAACTGTGTTTTTAAGTCGTTCGCCTCATTTAAATGCCAAAGAACTTTTTATCCGAAATACTCCGAAATTATCCGAAAAAAGTCGGAGAAAAAGTCGGATATCCGATTCTCCGAGAAAAAATTTCGGATGAAAAACCGTGTATCCGATTCTCCGAAAACTTTTCTCCGACCAAGCCTGGTTGCATGCCTACAAAAGTTTATATAGAATTCTAATGAAAATTGTAGAAATTTTTTAATTAAAGTAGAGCTATAATTTAGAAGTGATACACTTTTATGGAACTTTCTAGGTTTTTGAAATGCGAATCTTCGAATGTTTAATTTATAAGAATGTTATAATAGATTATAAGAATGTTATAATAGATTTTGAATAAAATCAATTCTGAGTCCACACGGCTTCATCCAATAAATGACCTACATGGTGGCGCATAATTACCTGGACTCAAATTTCCACTAGCACCAACATCGAGTAAAGCGTTGTACTGGGCTCAAATTTGCAGTGCAAAAATTCAAATAGTTTATCAGTAAACTGACCAAAGTTCAAGTCATTTGATCAACTTTGAGTTGAGTTATCGTTTCTCAAATTTGCTTCATCTCATGAGAATGTGCAACATTACGTCATGCATCTTTAGACAATCATAACAATACCTAGACTTCAGGAATAGCTTTGAAAATCTCAGTAGCTTTGAATCAAACGTAAAATTTGATTTCTAACGATTTTCTTGCTTCCAAGACACTCATGTCTAACGATACACCCGTTTTTATCAGTCCGGGTCATTTAGCGCCACATTGTAAAGTTAGAAAAAAAATCTACAGTAACCTTCATTGATTATCTCAACGTGTTTATATAATCACTTGCTGTCACTTATCGTGTTCTTGACAGTAGTCAATGTATCTATGTATTCTATGGCACCACTTGATATCACCTCCACACCCTTCCCCTTCTCTTCTGCTCTTCTTCAAATTTGCTTTGACAGTCTTCAGTTATCCTAATAAGTACTTCTCCATCCGCTTTCACCCTTATAAACACGTGTTCCTCGCCGCTGTTTGTCCTATGCAATCAGTAGTGTGTTCTGTGTGTCCTGAGGTTAATCTCCTATGTGAAAAGAGTAATGAGTATGATGATAGTAGCACGGGAATTAAATAGAGATCGGGAGCTTCTAAGGTGTCATATATGAAATGTTAGTTGGAAATCTACAACTCTGGGGAAACTAACAATGGACTTCAAAGAGAGTGTTTTTCAACTGCTAAGAGTAGTGTTTGAAACAACTACAGTAATCTTGGTGACAATTTTTTATAAAGAGATCCGGAAAATAATGTTACTCAAGCTACTTTTATGTCAATCTATCTGCTTCCGTTTCCGCCGTTTTTGGCTTCAAACTATGTGACAACTTGTATTATTTTTCCAAGGAAATGAGATAAGATCCGGAAAGATCAAAGGAACATGTATGGCGTAACATCCCTCTCTCTCTTTTCTCTCTCTCTCTCTCTCTCTCTCTCTCTCTCTCTCTCCCTCTCTCTCTCTCTCTCTCTATCTCTCTCTCTCTCTCTCTCTCTCTCTCTCTCTTTCTTTTATTCTTTAAAAAAAACTAAAGTCCAGAAACGAAGCAGAGTGAGAAAATAACTGTGTTATCAATCGTATTGATACAAGGAAAACCGATACGGCGGATAAAACGAAAACCGAATAAAAAGTTGTGAGGATTCGGAAAAAAAGGAAGCCGACGACGAAATGAGGATGTCTGTTAACACTTTTGGGATGTGTGAAGAAAAGATGATTGATAAATCGAAGTGACCTCTTCTTTTGTATGTCTCGAGATCCATTTGATAAAAGGGAAAAACAGGCATGAATCAGGAAGAAGTGATCAGTAAAAATGAATATACGAGGTGTTAGAAATTGAATTTTTGGAAGTCCAAATTGCGATAGCATTATCAGGAATGTTCTGAGCGGAATTCCAGAAAATTTCCAAAGCTCGAGAGCTTTTTGGACTACGGTATGTCAAAGGCGCACGCGAAAAGTTCCCTTCTGGGCTTCGAGCGGATTTTCTTTTAATAAATCTTTTTTGCGTTTTCAATCTCTATCTGTTGATTTTACAGGCTTTTGTGATAGGCCAGTAGGACTCCGGAATTTCGGAATTCTGAAACGTTCGAAATCGGAATTTTCCGAAAATCAGAAATTCATAAATTTTAAAATCGGTATATTCCGAAATTCTGAAAACCTGAAATTTACAAAATCGAAATATTCCAAAATCCTGAAATTTTCGTAGTCGGTATATTCCGGAAAATCGAAATTCACAAACTTTAAAATTTGGAATTTTCAACGTTCCGAGAAATTTCGAAATTCTGAAATTTTCAAAATCGGAATATTTCAAAATTACGGAACACCGAAAAAAAATTTAAAAATTTGGAATTTTCGAAATTCCGAAAAATCCCGAAAAGCAAGAAGTTGAATGATTTCTGATAATTCAACTGAATCATCATTATATTAGGATACTTCCAGATTCCGAATTTGTAATTTAATCTTCAGAAAATGTTCTAAAAATCCATATAAAAATAAATGGTTTATTTCCAAATAAATGCCTCAAAATCCTAATCACCCGGAAGTGCTCATTGACAAATACAAACAAAAAATTTATAAATCTGGGAGAAATTGAATATAAATCTAAAAATTCTACCAGCAATAATATATTTCACTACAGTCTACGTTCAATTCGGGAATCACAGTTGTCAGACGTCGTTCCAGTTCGGTATGCGCTTTTTGCTGAAAATTTAACAATTTATTAAATTTGAAAATAGAGAGAATTCTGATCTCCTTAAAGTCCAGTATTCAAAAATCTTTACCTGTAAGAAAGTGAGCCCATGGAGTGTACACTGCCCAGCCACTTCCAACTTTTTGATAAACGCAACTGGCTTCTTTTTCTTTACTATTTTCTTCACAATCTTCTTTTTTGGTTTCGAAACCAATCCTTCTTCAGTCACAACTTCTGTTTCCTTTTTCTTCTTAACCACTTTCTTCTTTTTTGCCGGTGGAACGCCTTCTGGTTGAGTGGATTGAGAAGCTGTCATTTGGAGACTTCGAACTAGATTATCGACGGTTTCAATGGAGCACGAAGAGATTCTGAAGGTGTCCAAAGGGTTGTAGGAGACGGGAGTCGTGCCGTCAGCAAATAGAGACCAATCTCTGAAATCGTTTTTAAATTTAAAACTTTTTTTAGAACGATTAGACATCAAACGAAATTCATTCTCACCTCATGGTAATATTCTTCGCTTGAATATTTTGCTCCCTCATAACCGCGTACAATTGATCCAATCTGAGTTGTGGCTGATCGAAATCAGTACAAATCAGTTTGATTTTGTACAATGGCAACGAGGGAAGAACACTGATCTGATTCAAAATGTGCATCGATTTTTCGGCATGCAACTCCAAATTGATATTCGATTTTGGGTAACGAAGGATGAAACTTTTCACAATTTCTCCAACGTTTTTATAGTGACGAGGGTCGACATGGACTTGAAGGGTAAGTTGTTGTAGTTCCTTGAAAATAGGGTTACTGTAATTTTCGAGAATATCTGTAGGAGGCAACTTACGCTAAAAAGGGTACCCTCGATATTGAGAAATCGTTGAGTAACTTCGTCGTCAGGGTGGATAATCAGAAGCCAAAGATCTTCAACATTCGAAAAATAGCGGCGGCCATTGTCTTTAGTTACATGGATCTGATCGATTCCAGCAAGGAAATTTAGGTCCGTCGTCATTTTCATGAACGAGAGACGGCTTCGACGGAATACGCCAGCCAGGAAATCATGCGAATCGGATGGGCAGCTGATGGATAAACGACGGAAAGGAACGCATTGATGGGCTTGGGGAAACATGGAGCCCAGCTGAAAAATGGGTGCTTTGAAATTTTTTTTTGAATAAGTGCCTTCAATGCCGTATTTGTAAAGTTATTTAATTTTTGCCTATTTCCGTAACTCTTTTTAGCCAATTTTCGTCTGATTCTCATTAATCTTTAATCGAAATTTCTTATAAAACTTTAAAAAACCGAAAAATGGGAAAAGATGGTATGTAAAGCTTTGTTTTTTTTTGCTGTTAGACCGAAGATCAGCCTTCAAACTGCATTTTCGCCGTCAGACTAGTAATAGGGTAGTTGCTCTAATAGAAGCCCACCCTACATGTGCATTGTGAGCTCAACTACCTCGGTTCCTATGAAAGATATCAAAAATGTGTCAACTGGTAAAATTTTGGTGATATTGTGATAAATAATTTATCGGTTACACATTTTTTGATATCTCTTACAGGAAATGAGATGAACATCTTTTTGACATCTTTGAAAGGAACCGAGATAACTGAGCTCACAGTGCATTTCTTCTATTAGGCAAAATACGGTATATGTGTGTTCTGTTAAAAATATAATTTTTTTCAAGTTAACTAACTAATTTTCTTTAAAAAATGAAAGTGGGGAAATTTTGATCCCAAATTACAGACCCTCTCAATGGAAATGCTTACCCTCTCAATGGAAACTTCATGAATCTCCTTCCGAAATTTCGCACTAATAATATTCATCCATCGTTTGCAAACTCGCTCCATTTTGCATAAAACCGGATAATCATACTGATCGAAAATTTTACGAAGAATCAAATCCGGCATATTTGGGATCACTTTTCGATTTCCACAGGTATACATGATGGTCGTTTGAGTAGTAGTTCGAGTGAGAGTATTTGGATGGGAGATTTCGCTGAAAAAGTTTTAAATTTTTCAAAAAATTGAGACAAATTGAGTCGAAAACTAACAAGACAATATAGTTTAGAAAACTGGGCGTTGGTGTTTTGTACTGATCATCCTAAGAGAGGGGGGTAATTCATTCACAAGTATCTTTTGCACAGAGCAAATACGAAAAAGTATAAATCGGGGAGAGAAGTTTGCAAACAAAAAAGATAAATTGGATCAGGAGAAAAATGGGGAAAGCACCAAAATACAAGTGGAAACATTCTAGAAAAAAAATGAAATGATCTTCAAAAGACACAAAAATATGTTTGCTTAGATGATCTTGATAGACCAGACCGAGATTGGAGTTTTGGTAGTGATCTTGTTTGATTTGTGATTATTTTTGAATTTCCGTCGAACTGAGAAAGTGTAGGCTACTTTTTAGGTTTGTGTCGAGTTTCTAGTCAGCGTCACAACTGTAATATAAGCTCACTCAAACCATCAACTTTGAGCCCATATATCTCATTTTCTGTGAAAGATATCAAAAATCTGTCTACTGATAAAATATTGGTAATATTGTGATAAATAATTTATCAGTTACACATTTTTTGATATCTATTACAGGAAATGAGATAAATTGGCTCAAAGTTGAAAGTTAGTAGACCCTTCCACTATAGGTTTCATGGCAGGATTTCTAGTCAGGTTCAAGTGCAGAAAGAACTGAAGACGCCGAAAATTGCACATTTATCTTATTCTTAAGAAATTTGGGAAATTCGGAAAATTGGAAAATGAAATTAGGATTGGAAAGTTTGAGATGACTATAAGCAATGCAAATGAGAGTCACTTCCCAAATGGCTCAACAATTGTCTTTGTGCTTGCCGATCCTGCTCCTCCCCTCATTTATCCACTCCACTCGATTGCTCATTTTTTCAGTACATGCCACGTCACTTTTTTCTCTGATTATCGACTGGCGCGGATGTTTACCGAAACCGCTTTCCGCCTCTTCTATCTCCCCTAACTCATGAATGCTCTTCCACGTCATTATGGAGAAAGAACAGATAGGATCTATGAAAGATCGAGGAGCTGAAAACGAGTGGAAAACAGAAAACTACACAAAAAATTCAGCTACAGTACCACCGTTCAAAAAACTGCAAAATTTTGCTATTTGTGAATTTCAAAAAATGAACTGTAAATTTACGAGAAAAATTAATGAAAAAATTGTGAGCACCTTAACAATAAGGTAATCAATATACCGTCTTTCCTCTAATAGAAGGCCACACAAACCGTGTACTTTGAGCCCATATACCGTAAAACCTGTAATAGTATAAAATGTTGGTGATATTATGATAAACATTTTATCAACTAATGCCGCGTTCAAAGTTGATTTCCAGGAGTAATTTGCTGGAAAAACGCTGGCCAAAGCTGCGAT